ATTTCACTGGCGGTGGGCTCGCCGTAGAAATCTAACTTGGGAGTTATAACTGCATTTCCGCAGTAACCGTAAAAATTAACAAGCCGTATAGTCAGACCGCGGAAATGTTCCACAGTTGACCTGCGACTGCTCTTGGATTTTAGGGGTTACAAATGACCTTTGCGAACCATAGGATCGTCGTATGGCCTCCATGTGGTTGCCCTGCCTTTACCCACAGGTTCGCCCTACGCTGACCGTGCGTCATCATCAGCCTTATGGCAACCATAGATTTTATGCATGTCTCCTGAAAATCAAAATACGCCGTACGGCTGCCATGGTAAATGTGACTTCTATTACCTAATCACAGAAATTCTAAGACGACCGTAGAAAGGTTACTGACCGCAGATATAATATAAACTATATGATAACCTTCGTAAGAAAATTGAGGAAAACAAAATAAAAAATAAAAATGCCTCCACAATTTTAGCCCTGCTGGAGTCGACTTAAAATCATCATTACATTATTAATTTTCAAGTAGATTAAAAGACTTATTCAGGATCTGATTGCAGGAACTGATTTTTCTTACTTCTATACTGCGTATATATATTGTCTGTACGCATCAATGATTGCCAGATACCTATGGAATTATTACATATAATTTCTTTTGCATTAATAGATTTAATAGATTTGATAAGCAATGTTTCATAAGCCAATGTCCACTTGAACTGTATGAAATATTTATTATCTGTAAAATATGCCCGTGACACTAAAATACAATACAATTTAATGCAATGCAATACAATGCAATGCATCGCAATTTACATATAACGTACATGTATTGTATTACAATAGTACAACGCGATGCAACACAATGCGATAAATACAATAGAATAATTTTGGAGAAAACAAAAACTGTATACAGGATGATCAATAAATAAAATATTTGCTAAAAGGTAAGTGGGCTGATGCTATTTTTGACTCATATTACTCCTTTATGATGCTTACAAGACAAATAATGAGCCCTAGATTCGTGTTATCTTGTTTTTGAACTAACTATTTAATAATTTCTTCTCTCTTGTTCTTTAGATCAATAAACTTACTGCTAATGCTATGACTATTATTTCTTCTATTTTTCTCAGTTAGTTAAGATAATTATCACCTATTAGTGCTTTATATCTACGCTAAGATCTTCAAATCATATGACTTTCTTTTGATTGAATGTAATAATGACGTTCAACGAAATGTTCTCAAGTAATGATATTGTTAATACTTACGTCTAACGATGATAACATCTATAATGAGCTGGGAGACAACGAATGTAGCGTCCAATATGGCCAGAAACGCAACGAAAATTAGAATGGATGGGGAGTCAATGACGTGTTTGATCTTTTTTCGGTACCTGAAAAATAGTTTTTAAAAATGATATATTCATTAATAACGATCGTTGAACACTAAACCTTTTCGGCTCTTCTGTTTGGTCCAAAATGTATTGCCAATTATGTATTTAAAGGTGGAATAACAGATTGACGGCATTGTCAAAAACATTTATTTACTAATTGATAATTATTGTGCTTTTACTAATCTAAAATTTCTAATTCAAAATACATAACCATATTTTCTCTGTTTATTTATTTTCTCTATTTTGTTTTTAAAATGCATAGTATACAATACATGTACAGTGCATCGTACATGTTTACAATATCTCACCTTGAAGTATTTTTTGCCCATAAAGGCTGAATATAGACCATGAAATTGCTAATGTAGAATTACTTTTGAAAAGATCAAATCAAAATAGATTGTTTTTTATACATATCTTCACTGTTTTATTTTATGAAACTGTCAATTCATGTAGCCGTACGTGTCTTTGGATCATTCGTGCATGATAAATTGATGTTCATTCAGGTAGATAGAAGGGAGGTTCAGTTCCACGTTTAAAGAGAACAAGTACGAGAACATGTAAAAGTATTATCCTCTTATGATAATTGTTCTCCTCCGAAGTAATTACTTGCCCAATTTTGTAAAAAGGTATGAGGACATTATTTTCCTATGAGAACAGCTATTGAGATGGAATAGTATTCCCCGTGGGTCATAATTTAACACATACATTCACAAGTTCTCTCAAACGTGTTGTTTAACCTCCCTATTCATTTTCTACATAAGTATTCTGGGACACCCCCTTAAAATGTTAGAATATCGTAAACCTTGTTCCCGTCATTGTTTCCTTTCAGATCTTACAACTGCAGTTGATATTTTCATTCATTCTATATTAATTGCAAGTCAAAATATGCAAATACATGCAAAAGCTTTAGATTGTTAAAACATGCGTAAATTGGAATTCAATAGTTAAACTGCAGTCTTGTATGCCAATCAGAGGCCCTACCTTTTAAAATAAGTACTTATTCCTCGCTTTTTTTCTTCGTCACCGTCCAGTTTGGTAGCGTTATGTTCCATGTTTAACATCTTGTTCACTTGTAGGCCAGGCATACATGAACGTTTCTGCAAATCGTCAATTGTTGTCGTTCGCTTTTGTCATGCAATTCGTCACCTTGGTATTATTTTATATGTTGAAGGACTGGATTTTGCATGTCTTCGCACACCTGTTTATGCTATGCAAACTGCACACGACTGGTAATAGCCAGCAACATGAGTCATTACTTTTTTGTATTTGTCAAAGTTATTGATACTTTTGAACGTTCGAATTCCTTTGTATATAGAAAACATGTTTTTTCTTCGTTTGCGCTATTCAAGACCATAGCCATAACGACACCAGTTATAAATCAGTAGATGCTGTGGATGGAGATGTTATAAAACATTAAATTATGCATGTCTCGCTCCCAACAACGTGATAATTGCATAAAGGCTAATGGACTTTGATTTTTTGTTTAGTGTCAGGAAATCGTTTTGAAATAATTGGAAATAAAGAAAAGAAATAAAGAATGTAGCTTCTGCTGAACGGAAGTGTATATTTGGAAGATAATACTTACCGTTTTAAAATTAGAATTTAAAGATTATTTATCATCTTTGTTTTTGTCTACAATCTTAGTATAGTCCCTGGTAATTGAAATGGCCTTGACGCCCTACGATCGAAGGATGCACGTATAGTTGAGTCACTTTTGTAGTATAACGAGTAAAACGGCGATGTTTTTTATCATAAAACGCAATGTCTGCTCATTGTAAACATGTCTCCATAATGTTTTAATTTATTGGTTAATGAAAACACATCTAATGGAATCCTGTGCTGAGGTTTTCCATTCTGTGTTTTCCTTAACCAATGTACTTGCACAAACTTTTTGTCCGTCAAAACTTACTTTTTGAGCAGAATAACAAGTTCTAAATTGAACTTAAGCATTACTTTTTCTTAAAAGGCAAATAATTTCTTTCTCTTTTCTTTCGATTAGTTTCTACATGAGAGATTTTCTTCGAGCTTTGAACAGAAAAAGATTTATATCAAAGTTTATTGATGGTACAAAAAACATATCATCAATTATTAAAAATATTTTAGGTCATTTAGGATTCAAAATTACTGGCCCTCTAAAGAGTAAATGCGCGAAAACGATTTGATGAATCATTTCTAAATATCCGAGCATTACCCTAACAATATTACAATATTTAGTGCGACTGCATCGTTTTATAATTCCGAATGATTAAAGTGGAGATACGTGAGAAATAAGACAAAACCGAAAATATCTTGCAAAACATCAGTGCTGAAATATTCAAAATGTCAAGAAGAATAGTTTGAATATTTTCAATTAGATTTCAACGTTTTGACAATATTTTGTGGTCACAACACTCTTTGAATGGGCCACATGCTAAAGTATATAGGGGTCGTGCACTGTGAGGTTTTTTATACAGGGAATATCCCGAGGGCTATATAAGGGTTATGTACTGAGAGGTTTTGGATATAGGGTATATCCTGAGGGATATATAGATATTATCCTATACGAGGTTAAGTATATTTGGATTATCCCGAGGCAAATATAATATATTTTCCCTCGGGACCTGCGGCCCTCGGACAGATATATTATAGTTTAGTTTAGTTTAGTTTTATTGTTATTTACAGTGGTAGGTTCAATACAATGCAATACAATACAATACAAAAGAAAAGTAATAAAAAGCAACCCAGCCCACTTGGGCTTATCAACCACTAATGTTAAAAATTACAATTAGATTCATAACAAACAATTTAAAAAATACTAGCATGAATTTCTTAGACATATACATGCAGTTAAATTCAATTTACATTATAAACGGCATTTCTTCTTTTAAAATAACAAAGTTTAACAAAATGAGCAGCTTGCCTAGGCATTTTTTCAAATAAATACTGAAACTTTTGATCCGTAGTTGATTCTGTTTCTTCAAAAATTTGGTGATTTTGTAAATATGTTTTCCTTATTTCCTTATAAAAAGTACAATTAAAAATAAAATGTTCCTCATCCTCAATGTTGCCAGATTTACATAAAGTACATTTTCTATTTTCCAATTTTTCATTTCTAAATCTGCCTGTTTCAATTTCCAGTGGTAAAATTCCCATACGTAATTGTGCAATTAAAGATCGTTCCAACTTATTATATTGGCCTCGGGATAATTCCAATATTCTGAACCGACCATAGGATAATATGTTTATTCCATAAATCTACTGTATTCCCAGAGAAATATAAAGGAATAAAAATCGTATTGAATCGTATTACATGAAAAAATCGTATTGTCCCTGGGAAATAAATCGTATTGGAGCGTATTACATGAAAAACTCGTATTGTCGTTTTCGTATTTTGAGGCTTTTTGGAATGTTTTTTTTGTTGAAAGCTTTTTTCGCAAAAAATGCTTTGATTCGAGGCTTTTTTGCATGAAAATGTTTTACTTCGAGGCCTTTGCAAAAACGCTTTGTTTCGAGGCTTTCTCGATGGCTTCATGGTAAACTAAGTGGAATTGATGGAGTTATTACTGATTTCGTGATTTTGCGATGTTTTTGTGCGTTGTGTTTTTTGAAACACACTGTATATATTGTAAGCAGGATATTACTGAGGTAAATAATAATCTTCAGTCACAAATAGATACCATTTCCAATGAGGTAAATTCGTTGAAAAGCTCGATTAGTCTTTGCAAAATTGTCATAAAAAACATTTCTGAGTCGGATAATGAAAATTGTGTTGCTAAAGTCAACGAGTTAGTTAAAGCTGGTCTGAAACTGGACGATATTAAGACTGTTACAGCGAAGAGAATTCCGAAACGTCAGGGATCTAAATACCCAGGGATAATTGTGGCAGAGGTCAGTGAAGCTGATAGACTGGAGATTTTTAAACGGAAGTCATCCTTGAAACAATCTCCAACTTATTCCAATATTTATATAAATGATTTTATATCAAATGAGTCACAAAAAATGAATACAAATCTCCAAACTGTTTTACGAGCTGTGGGTAAGCAGAATGATTTTAATTTAGTCAATGGACGAATTTTACCAAAAACCGTTAGGCAATCAGATGGAACAAGACCATAGGAACTCGGCCGATGTCGGCAATGTGATATCACTATTGGAACATGGAATTGTAACGGCTGGTCTAGTTATAATAATGACAATTCTGTTTTCAGAAATAACGTTTTACAGTCCACTGATTTAGATGTAATATGTATACAAGAAACATTTTTACGGGAAAATCAGACTCTAAACATGGATTCTATTTGCAATTCTAAATATTTGTTTATTAACCATCACCGTTCGAACATTCATGTTAACGCAAGGCGCGGCTCAGGTGGAGTTGGAATTTTATTGAAACGTACACTCCTCGAGGATTATGTTTATACAATACTTGATAAATCAAACGAAGATATACTATGGATACAGCTTTCACCCCGTGTAAACAACAATAGTGATTCGCTGTGTATCTGCTCGTGTTATTTACCACCACGTGACACGTCCAGGGCAAGTGATGCCGAAATCTTTTACAATAAGCTTATTAGTGACGTTTATCAATATCAAAACAACGGACTGATTTGTATTTGTGGAGATCTGAATTCACGTTGTGGAGAAAACTCAGATTTCATAGAAGGAGTCGATAGACTGCCACAGCGCGAAGTTATTGACTTAACAGTGAATGAGTACGGGGATTATCTCACAGATTTTCTTACCAGCGGAAACCTTTGTATGCTTAATGGACGCTTTCCAGAAAACGATTTCACTTTTGTTTCTCACAGAGGGAGATCGGTAGTAGATTTTGTCATCATACCACACGAGCAGCTTGAATTTTGGAGTGATTGTAAAGTGTGCACAATGAATGGGCTGATAGCTTCCAATCAGATCCCAGTTCCCACGCATATACCGGATCATTCCCTAATAAGGGCTACTGTACAAATACAACGCACAGTCAGGCCCTCTAGTGATAAAAGTGAAAACCATGAAATTTATAAATACAAGGTTGATAATATTCCAGATAATTTTATGCAAGATGTAAATATAGATGATGTTAATTTAGTGATTAATTGTATACAGCAGCGGATTGACGAGGAAAATATTTTAAATGATGCTTATGAGGAATTTGCTAATTTAATTAAATCTGAAATGGATGAATTACTACCTAAAATTAAAGTGTGCCCTAATAATTGCCATTCTAAATTTCGATCAAAACCATATTGGTGTCAAGAATTGCAGGATTTGTGGAATAGTGTGTCAGCAAAAGAGAAATCCTGGTTACGTTGCAAAGGATCACCCGCACGGAGAAATGTATTGAGAGCGCAATATTGTGCTGAACGCAAATCGTTTGATAAATTGCTAAGAAAGTTGAAACGCCGACATCAACAAACAGAACACGATCATCTTCTTGAGTCGTGTTGTGATAAATCCAATCAAAAGTATTTTTGGCGTGAAATTGGAAAAATCGGAGTCTCTAGTGAACGCAGGAAAATTATACCTTTTGAGGTCGTTGATACAGAAGGAAATATTATAACAAATAAAAATGATGTATTACACCGTTGGAAATCGGATTATACAGGACTATATAATGGCAGCGATAGTCCAGTTTTTGATGATAACCACTTGAATCGTATAAAGTCCGAGCTGGAACTTATGAATCTCGATGAGGATCCTAATATTAATACAGCACTTAACAATGATATATTATTTGAGGACGTTCGAAAAAGCACTTACAGACTAAAACTTAGGAAAGCCACATGATTTGACAATATTCCCGCAGAAGTACTGAAAAACCATAACTGTATTTCTCTTCTGCATAGAATTATTCAACAGTGTTTTCGACTTGGCAAGGTACCGAAACAATGGAATAGAGGAATTATTCACCCGATTCCTAAAACAGGTGATCCCAGAATACCACTCAATAATCGAGGAATAACACTGATAACAATACCTTGTAAGGTGTATTGTGACATTCTAAATCAACGATTAGCTTCATGGTTGGAGACCGAACACAAACTGGTTGATGATCAAAACGGATTCCGTAAGGATAGGAGTTGTTTGGACCACATTTACAGTATGTACACTATAATTAACAACCGAAAGTTGGCTAAACAAGATACGTTCGTATGTTACGTTGATGCCCGTCGGGCCTTTATCAGTGTAGATCGTACCTGCCTCATATATAAACTCCAACGCGCCGGGGTGAAAGGACGCATGTTGAACGCCATTGCGTCATTGTACGAGAATGTTGAGTGTGCTGTCCGGGTAAATGGGCTTTTTACGGAGTGGTTTGATGTCCCTAATGGATTGAAGGAGGGCTGCCGAGCATCTCCGACTCTATTTTCCTTGTATGTTAATGATTTGGCTGAACTAATAAATGACTTGAATTGTGGCATTGATATAGATGGAACAATTACTTCGATATTTATGTACGCTGATGATATTGCGCTTGTTGCGCCAAACGAGCGTAACCTACAATGTATGCTTGACAAGTTAAGTGACTGGTGTCTTACTTGGCGTATGTGTCTCAACCAGAGCAAGACTAAAGTGATCCATTTTCAACCGTCAGGAAATAATAGGAGTAATTTTATGTTTACATGTGGTGATCTAAACGTTGAATATACACCTGAATATAAATATCTCGGCTTAACTTTAAATGAACACCTCGACATGCACCGTACAGTTAAACTATTAGCAGCATCTGGTAATAGAGCTCTGGGCGTCCTCAGCGCAAAGTCGAACGCAGTTGGAGGCATGCCATATAAGGTCTTTACAAAACTGTATGAATCCTTGGTTGAGCCTATCTTGTTATATGGCGCGGGAGTATGGGGCAATGCTCAGTACACCGAAATAAATGCAGTGCAACACAAGGCAGCGCGTTATTTTTTGGGACTAGGACAAAAGGCACCTAATATTGCAATGAAGGGAGATATTGGCTGGACCTCAATATTTACAAAACAACGCGTCTCAGTAGTTCGTTTATGGTGTCGCCTAAAAAACATGGACAATTCTAGAAACATGAAACATATACATATTTGGTCAATGCGTCGAGCTCGGACCTGGGAAGCAAAAACAATTAAACTCATTAAGACTCATGATTTTGATCATCTTATAACACGAGACGAAATCCCTGACATCAGAAAAGAACTTCGTGATTTGCACGATATTTTATTTAACTGTGATCACGAGCTTTGGCATCGTCAAATGTGGAATGACGGACGCAATGTTAATGGTAATAAAGTTAGAACATATCGATTACATAAGACACACGCCATTGGTCCGGAATACTATGTTAATGCGAACCTCACTCGCTTTCAGAGGCGTGCTATTGCCCAACTTAGAAGCGGAACGTTGCCACTCAAATTAGAGACTGGGAGATACACCAACATTCCACTTAATGAGCGACTATGTCTCTGTGGCAACGCCGTGGAAACAGAAATTCATTTTGTTATAGAATGTCACCTTTATGAGACTGAGAGGAGAGAGCTTTTGCATAAGGCCAGGTCGCTAATAGGGAATGACTTTGATACCACTAGTCTAGGACAGTATTGCTTACTTATGAATTGTGAATTGTTGCAACGTTCCCTAGCAAAGACTGTAATTAAACTCTGTATGAAACGTCGAACATTCTTATATTAACTTATTAATCGAATTGTTGTTAAGTGTCTCATATGCCGACATCGGCAGGGCCAATGTTTTTTAATATCGTTTTAGTACTATGTAATATTTTATGGCGTGACACTATAATAAATAATAAATACAATACAAATATATTGTGAGCCGTACTACATTTACACGATGAAATCGATTTTAGGACACTTGGTTGTGCCCAGCTACGATTATGTAATCGTATGCCCCTAAAAATCGATTTCGATGTTAACGTAACAAATGTATCCGATACGAACTCGATGAAAATACGCGTAGTTAACTAATAAATAGTATACGATATAGCTTCTTTGGGATCTAACCTTCGTTGAATTTTCTACTCAATTACTTCGTTATCAACTAAGCTTTTCTAACGAAGGCGGAGGTGTTACACTGGCCCAAAATTGAAAAAAATTTAAGTGCTCAACCAATTGTTTATGCATTGAACACTGTAAATATTGTGTATATATTTTTTTGTTAATTTAAAAAGAAAAAAACAACTAAATGCAATGCGCATTTTTCATATATGATAATTAATGAATAAGCATATTCGTTTTTGCTACCTTTCCGTTTTATTCCAACGTTATAAGTTACATTTAATATGTACAAATGCTGCCTGAATGGTTCTGTGAATATGTTTAACATGTAAATGCCTGTCATCACATGGATTTTTGTAAATTCTTGGCATATACATTTTTTAGTCAAATGTCAAATAAAACCTGAATGAATGTCACTCCTGGAAACTATAGCGAACTACTGATTTCCATTTGAAACTTCTATCGTAGCCCGTTGCTGATACATTTGTGCCCAGAATGAATGTCACTCCTGGAAACTATAGCGAACTACTGATTTCCATTTGAAACTTCTATCGTAGCCCGTTGCTGATACATTTGTGCCCAGAATGAATGTCACTCCTGGAAACTATAGCGAACTACTGATTTCCATTTGAAACTTCTATTGTAGCCCGTTGCTGATACATTTGTGGCCAGCCATGTCTATTGAGACCCGGTCCACCCGCCATGTGACGATGTGTAGGTGTGTCCCTGTTAGCCCAAGAATCCGATGAGTGCGGGGGCTGCCCAGCCCGATGACCTTGAGCTCCATCTTTTGGTACATCTGAAAATAAAAGAATCGATAGCTTGAGTCTAAAGTCAGTCGTTAAAATGATTCCTTGATGTACATCGTTTATAATTGAGTATTTGGGTCGCATAATAGACCATGTGCAAAGGAAAAATATATAAATTGTATTGTTTTATCAAATACAGGAGTTTCTTCCTTCTCAGATTCATAGATGAAATTGAGTCCTTTTTTGGTTGCGATCAAAACTAACGTTCAACAAATGTTCGGTTGATAATACGGCTTAATTGGCTCGTTAGGAACATTGAGAGAATACTGAGATTAAAACATATATTAAAACAAATTATATTATATGTCTCTGGAATACTATATCTAGTATGGAACTGAGAGTGACCGCCATCTATCAAATGATGCAAAAGTTATAAATACAGCCTGGGTGAATACATGGTAACATCACATGGGCAACACAAATTAAACATCTTAAATCTTCAATAATTACAAAAAAAACAAAGTAGACAAATGTATTTCCGTTAAGTTTGTCTTCGTAATTCCCTGCGTCTCTTTATTATAGAGGTGCTTGTTCTGATTTACATGTATAGTCCCTAAACGAATAAGGCATACCTTTTCTGCAAGCCTTCAAAATTGAAATCAAACAAACCTCTTCAAATCCACCAAATCTTGAACTGTAAATTTCTATTTTGTTTTAACAAATACGCAGAATGGCAACTGGCATCGAGACGTGTGTATATATATGCAATGCGATTTAGTCTATAAATATTTCAAGTTACCAAATGTTGAAAGGAAGCAAATAAATTGTTTTCATGATCACGAACGCGTTTTGTATGTATATTGGTATAAACGCATATCACACAATAGCTCACTTCAAAATATACACAATTTCAATGTTAAAATTATTGGAATTGCTTTCTGATCGGTGTTGTATCAACTGAAATATAGTTTATTAATAACGATGATTATCATTACATCACTGATGAGAATCTATGGATTAATACAAACGAGCTTTACTCTATATATGAATACAGCGTGTCCGGAAAGTATGTCAAACCAGGCTGACATTTATCATTGTCGTCGTAGTATGTGTCATATATCATTTTAATGCCTATCCAAAGTTATATTGATTTGCCAAGTATCATGGTTGAACTCTCAAATGGGAAAAATACAATTATTTTGAATAAAAGTGTTTGGCCAAGATAGAGTTGAATTTTACACCACAGTACTTGTCAATGTGTCATCCCCTTTTGGTCATGGTAAAAGCAGCAATTCGTTTCAGATATGACCCTAAAAGCCGATCAAATAGGGGTGTGGAACCACTTTTCGAAAACATATTTATAGATGTATTTTTACATGCAGATTTCAAATATGACATCACTTTGACTGAATTTTGAATATTCAATGATCAGTAAATCAAGATTATTTCTACTCGCATCTAATCTATTGTTGCTGTTAAGATGGCTGGGGGACACATTGACTAGTGATTTGGTGTAAAATTGAAATTAATTTTAATTGGCCAAACATGAAATGCCTGTATTTTTCACATATGAAGGTTGAACCATGATACCTGACCAATCAATGTAACTTCGAATAAGCTTTAAAATGATATATGAAACATACTATGAAGACACTGGTATATGTCTGCCTGGGGGGCATACTATTCATACTTTTTTGAGGGGGTATGGTGTATACTTACATGGATCATGCAGATTATTAAAGAATTCTTCAATTTTAATCTTCTGTTTTACAATGCTATCTCGTTGATACTGCAGTGCTTTTCTCCTTAAGTATTTCGGCCTATCAGATGGCACAATAAATTCTCTCCGGACCACACCTCCATTGATCGGAACCAGATTTCCACTGTTGTCCTTTCTGTAATTCTGCACGAATTCAGTTTTGATATCAGCATACATTTTGTCTCTCATTTTAACATAGCGATCGTTGATCTCAGCAACTGTAAGTTCCTTCTTGATCTTTATATCAGGGTCAATAGTAAGGTTTGACATCTCTGGAAGAAACGAGCCCTTAGATCTAGGCTTATTCCTAGAATGTTTTCGTTTTGATTTTGGTTTTCCCCCATCTTCTTCGTCTGAACATTCAGTGTCTTTGTGGTTTGAATTACGACTCTTTGATCTTGATTTCGATCGTTTTGACCTTGATTTTGTCCGTTTGATTTTTGAGTGGGTTTTGTGCCTCTTTGTCATTCGCCTTGATTTCGGTATAGAGACATTAGAGTTTGCTCTGTTGACCATATCAATGATGTCATCATCGTTAGTTTTGTCACCCGCGTGGTTAACCTTCAAAACATCAGCATTGACTCGAGCTTCGTGTAAATCCAGATTGCTTTTAGTCAACTCATCTGTGCGTTCTAAAAGGTGTCCATCTCCATTAGACTCTTCCTTTACATCTTCTTTTGACTTTTCATCAGTTACAAATGATACAGATTTCTCGCGTTTGAGTTTAGTAACCGGATATTCTGGCTGACGGAGGTGAAGGTCAATGACTTTACCACTAGAGGACCTCACAGAATGAGGCGTTCCTATGGTTCTTGCGGGAGTTTTAGGGGGTTGAGGATGCATCTCCCCAGGGTTAGTTTTGGCACTATCATCTTCAGCTATCGGTACAAGTGCATTTCGTGATACAGTCTTCACTAAACGTTTCTCAGGTGGCTTTGGAATTCCTGGAATTTTAGGTAATTTTACTTCATTTTGAGTATATTTTAATTCTTTGATTACCCTATCGTCTATTGCGTTATAGGGGGAGTCATTTCGGGGTAGTCCGGGGCCAGGCGGTTCATCTCTACTATTTTCAACCTTCTCTGTTGTATTTACATTATCCACATCTTGTTTTGCCTTTGGTTTCTTCTTTTTGATTTTTGATTTTTCTGGTAGCAATGATAGCGTTGTCTGTTGTTGAAATCCTAAACGTAATCGCTCTTGTTGGCGTTTGTATTTTTCCTTCATGAGGCGTTTCTTCTCCTTGGTGACGGCACAAAGGGCTTTGTACGTGAAGTACTGTTTCTGATTTATATTATATAGAAAGTTATTCTGGTGTTTAAACATGACATCAACAACTTTCTTCATTTTCATTTTTTCAGATCTGTTAACAGAACGTACACCATGGCCGTATTCGCTTTTTCTAATCTTAGTAAAATCACCCAAATCCTTTTCTCCCCTAGTCGTCATTTTTCGCAGTTGGGTTGTCTTGTTGCTCCGCACTGGGATAGATCCATGACCATCACCCGTTGCCATGGTGAAGAAGTCTCAGAATGTGTTGCAATCCCAATAAAAAATGTTCAAAGACAATTGACGTTTAGTGTTCAAACTAAAGTGTTCAATTATCTTTTTCGAGTCGATGAATCGCTCATAACTCAGTCAAGTATTTTATATCTTAAGATCTAAGCTGAAGGTATCCCATTCATACGTTATCGGTTGTATTTTAAGTTGGATGGTTTAAATATATAAAATCCGTCCACCGTGCTGCCAATTTGGTGTTGAGACATCTCTGTTTGGTCTTATTTATAGTTTTGTTTACCTCTTCAATTCTTGTTTTCAAGGCACAAACATTATCCCATAAATGTCACGTCTCAATTGATCCTTGTTCTCAATCCGTCAAAGTATAATTTGAATTTAACTCCAAATCTGACCGAGAGTCGAATCTACGCATGTTATACCAATCTCAATATTGTTTAAGTTAGTGTGATTGTGTATGATTGTATACTCGAATATGTTATCAAATTGAGAGTTTTATCTTCGTAAGCAACAATACAAATCTAATATTTGGGTTTCTAAGTGATAAGAATAGAGCTTTTTAACTTAGCAAACACTGAGCTCAAATATCTTGTATTGTGACACTTAAGATTCAAAAGAAAGAAAAATCGATGTGAGATTTCAATGACAACATGTGTAGGTTGACGAATTTCTCGTTTGTTCATGACTTGTGACAAATTATTGTTGTCAAATACGGATTTAATCAATTAATCTGAAACCCTTTACTCTTCAAATGGCTGGTGTATACCGTGTTGATAACGTTTTTCCAATATTGTAAAGTATAATTTCGATTTTGAAATGTACATAATTTTGTATAGTACTCTTTGTAATACGGAATTGGAACAATAAATCGACTTGCAATAGAAAGACAAGGGTTTAACATGACAAAATGTCACGACCTAGTTGCTCACAATATTATGAGTTCAATCTTAAGTCAGATTTGAATTTCTGAGAACTTGTAGATGATTTTGAAAAAATAAACTGGTCAATTTGAAGCAAATGGAAAAATACCTTTTTGACCCTGAGAAGGTCATGACGGTGAAATCTCATATATAAAGTCAGATTTAAACTTCTGAGAACATGGAGATGATTTTGAGAAAAAATTGGTTAATTTGAAGCACGATGAAAAAATACCTTTTTGACCTTGAGAATGTAATTAAAGGTCAAGTCATTTTTGACCTTCAGGATTTCATTGAAGGTCAAATCTATAGCCAGATTTGAACTGTTGAGAACTTGTCGATGATTTTTAAATAAATGGTCAATTTGAAGCAAGTTGATAAAAGAGCCTTTTGATCTTTTTTGATCTTGAAAAGGTCATTTTTTACAGACGCGGATCGCCAACCGCCAACCACCAACCGTCGACAAAAAACGGAGACCATAACAACATGACATAGAAAAATGACAAGCACCTTTTGCGGCAACCCCTAATAATTTATTTTATTCTATATTATTTTATTCGCATGAAATCATATTATAAATGTTGAACAATCCATTAATAAATAAAGGGCTATAGAATTTGTTGTTCAGGGAGGGCTCTTCGGTTCAATAAGACTTTAGTACGCTGTTAACATGGTTTATGCTTACTGTCTGAAGCTGCCTCGAATCCTATGTAGCCAGGGGTCATGGCTTACATGTTATTAGTTGTATGGTGGTATACAGTGCTTGTGAATAAGCAATTCATGCATCTTCATAAATCATACAGTTCGAGATCCACAGGTCATATATCGTTAATATTCGAACCATGGGCGATGTCATAGAAATGTCCGATTCTCATAAAGCAGATGCAGGGATTAGTAGCGATGATCAGCGGAAAAATGCATGCACGATGTGGTGTCGTAAATATTTCATGGCAGGTCAGTTTGAATTTGTTCATTTTGAAGCATTCCGTTCCAGCAGCCGTACAAATGGCTTGTCGATAACATGTTTATTTTGCAGATTATTCAAACATATAAACATAATAGTGGGTTATAACCACGGTGTATAACCCAAACGCTCCTACATGCACGACGGAGCGTTTCATTACTGAAATTAAACAAAGAAACGCTCCGGAGTAGGAAAACTGTCTGGCGGGAATGATGAGCCGTCTGACAATTTCCCCAATAATGGGAATAAGAGGTATGAGTTACATATTTCGAGTATACCATTCGATGGGTGTGATATTCATGTTGTACGAGGCTGGCTGTTGACGTTTGAAGCAATTAGAAAGAACTGTACGAAGCAGTATAGTTATCAAAATTCAAAAACGTATTTGTCATTTAACCGGTCAAAACCCCTTTTGTCGATACATGTGATTAGTTGAGCCAAGATAAGAGCACCAACGTATATTCTAGTCAAATTCCAATGCTTCAACGCACCATACATTATCGTAATAGTGATTTGATGACCGAAAATCCAGTCTTAAAAATGATGACATTCTCATATTCAAGAAACGCTCCGATCTGGTTAACACGGTGAATTGGAAACGCTCCGGTAGTCTAGATCAGTTAAGGAAATATATAGCTTGCCTTTCCTTTTCAGGAAGAGAAAGAAAAGATCTATTATACCCCTTGGCATCAATAGAAGAAAGATTAATTCACATATAACTTTTCGTTTTTTCTATAGTTTTATGATTTAGCACATATGTAGGCATGACATCATCTAATGTATAGGCTTTAATTAGCTAGTTGCACGTTTAGCACCACCAGGTTCAGATGTTTCAATTTGCCTAACAAGTACAACACGTTTTTGAGAGATAGATTCGATTCGGAGTTATTCTCTAATAATCTGAAAATGATATCAAAACAAAATGGTAAGAGCGTTTCTAAAATTGTGGTCTAAATCGACGGAGCGTTTCGAGGAAAACAAGCGATTTCTCGAGAACAAGTAATGGATTTGGACTGGGATTTTAGGAAATGAGAATATACGAGTTTGTGATCTACTACTTAAACAGAAAGATTAACGTTTTCATAGAAATACTAGTTTAATTCGTAATTTGTGGTCAAATCGTCATCTTCAGATTCGTTCGATCTACACTACGGAGCTTTGATCAAGCAAATAACAGATTACCACCAGAAGTTGAATAAATAAGATCTTTGCTCACGGTATTGTTCATCGAATGGTACATAATATTTCACCATGACATATGATATGTAAGAGAAACGAGAGAAACAATACTTACGGTCATAGTAGAATCTTCATTAGCCGCCATTTTATTTCGCTCCGGAGCGTTTCCGCGTAAATGTAACGCTCCGTCGTGAATGTAGGAGCGTTTGGGTTATACACCGTGATAACGGGATAAGTTTCTATAAATGCACATGCAAATTACATCGGGTCCCGTACGAGTTCGTACGAGCCTCGAGAATTACCAGTCATTACGGACAAAAAGGAGCACGATTCTCTGGTACGGGCTCGTACGGAGCTCATTTTCGAGGCCCGATTTACAGGCCCCGTTGACTCAACGAGCCTCGGACGGGCTTGCACGGGGTCCGATGTAATTTGCTGTGTACGAGGAATAATGATAAATATCTCATAATATTTTTTATATTTTTGTTTTCCTATGAACTGTATTGACATTTTCACAAAATGTGAACTATATTCGAGAGGACGTTTTAACCTAGGAACACTTTTGTGTAACCGATTTATAAAGAAATTCATATTGCGCTGTTATAAAACGATTACTAACAACTAAAGGCAGAGGATCTCTTGATTTTGAGACTACACTAAGCTGTTATTATTTCACTGGCTACCGATTGAGTAAATATTTTCACACACTTACACACTTGTATTTCAGGTCAACATGTGAAACAGAAACAACTTGAAGCGCTGAAAAACCTTCCACCAAATGCACCATGGCACCAGCGGTTCCTTGTAGTAAACCGGCGGTTCATCGGTCCTGCGATCCCCGCAACGTTCCTCTGTACTTGTTGGCTGGCTTTCATGATTAAAAAACAGTTATGGCATTTGTTTGCTGAAAAATACGTCATGACAATAATCATGGTTTTTGTTTCTTTATTTGCTGGTAAGTGGCCTACTATGAGCTTATAGTAATGCTCAGGAATAAGATTGTTTAAACAGTGTTCTGGCGTTTGTATTTTGATTACCCTTTTATTGGTGGTTAAATCGAGATATAACAAAATGTATGCACGTATGGTATAATCAAATAAAGCTCCAAATACAGTAGAACAAAGCCAGGCTACCAACAGGTTACAGGATGGTTATCCCCGTGGTTATCAAAACAAATGTTGAGAATTGAAACAAGATACTAGAAGGAAAACAAGACCGGGGGGGGGGGGGGGGGTTGTAAGGTCAGAACTACTTCACCGGATGCGTTGCAAGTTGCCTTCATAGAGGACACAGGCATTTTTAGGATGTATTGTAAAATAACTATGAAATCGTGATAATTTGGAATAGACCAAGGGGACTTAATAGGATAAAAGAACATAGAAAACGTCTATATGACCTTAAATCCATTATAAATGACTGATCGACTTATTAACATTTGACATTTGTTTGGTTTTGGTGTTGAGGTTTTGGTACTTAAATGATGGGGAAGGGGTATTACACGTTGTTTCTCTTTTCATTGGATCATGGTTTGGGATAGTCGGGACTTCTGTTCCTATAAATACTCTAAGATGTTTTATTTTTCTTGCTGTGTTCTGAAACCGTTTTTGGCCCTTTCCTTTTGGCACTAGTGCAAACATATTTATTACTGAACTCCCTGTATTTACATTGGCCAGGAATGTTTGATTTTTTTAATTCGACCGAAAGTAAAGATTTTACCTTTTGGCCTATAATAAAAACCCATTAATAACTTTATTATATTATCATCTGAAAATTCACGAAAAACAGCATATATAAAGTATGAGCAATTAAGCTATTATCAATCTATATAGTTTTTAATAGATAGATTGTTCAAAAGGGTTTCCATAGTTCAAAGCTCTTCGACGTTCTAAAAATTAAATACCAAATACAATGACGTATTTAGATTTATTCTTTATAATACTCGTTGTCCCTTTCTTTTCATCTATCCTGAATGATTAATCGCCTCTTATTTTCAGGTATGACGGGGATAAGTGGTGGCGTTATGGTGTTCCCTGTGATGACTCTCGCGTTAGAGATCTCTCCAAAAACAGCGCGTGACTTCAGCATTTTGATACAGTCATTCGGTTTAACTGCTGCAATGTTTACCATTAAGTTCATGGGATTTAAAGTCGATAAGAGCGCTCTCATATTCTGTACTCTCGGGGGTTTTGGTGGAGTTGTGGTAGGGCTCGAAGTTCTAGACATACACCTAAGTCCACCCGTCAAGAAGTTCATGTTTACGTCTTTTTGTTTCTCGTTTGGATTTGCCTTGTTTCTACTTAACAGATATCGGAATAGACGAACATTTACGTCTGTGATGTTTATCAACGCATGGAAGGCAGGAGTATTGTTCATCACTGGTTTCATCGGAGGTATATTTACAGCAATCGGAGGCAGTGGACTAGACATAATGAGTTTCAGCATAATCACGCTTTTATTTCGTGTAACTGAAAAAACAGCTGCCCCAAGCTCGGTCATTGTTATGGCGATGAATTCATTATTCACATTCTTTTGGCGTGGTGTTATACAGAGTGATATCCCGGAAGATGCTTGGGTTTATCTCCTCGTATGTATTCCTGTTGTGGTCTGCGGTGCTCCGATTGGTTCAGTCATCGGAAGTTACTTACATCGCCTCGTTCTGGCGTGTTTTATATACGTCGTGACAACAGCTGGTTTGGTTGCGTCATTTGCAATCATTCCGCTGACACCAATCTTGATTGGTTTATCAGTGGGGGTTGTAATCGGAGGCGCCATCTTTTATATTTCAGTAACATTAGCGGGAGCTAGACTATTGATTCAAACTGAAAGGCGCGAACAGAAGGAAATGGTTAAACAACAAAACAATGATCTTGTTTCAACAGAACTGCAAAGATATAATGCAGAAATAAGAGATTCTGGTAGAGATCTTGATGCCTCCCGATTATAATCAGGAAATAATCAAACTAATAGACACAGTTATTGAAAAATGGGAAATTCGTCATTCGAAGAATTTTGATTCTTTAGTAATAAATTGTAGCATTTATATACAGTAAATGCTGAACTATTTCAGAAAATAAGTTTTTGAATCTAAAACCATCACGTAATACATCATATTAAAGCTGGAATAAGGTAAAATTGCATGCTCTTATATTGCAATTGAAAAGTAACTCAATATGCAATATACGAAATGGGACAATCCAGTAAATGCATGCCATGTCTGCATTAAGTAATTGATTCAATTGCAATAATGAGGGGGTGTCTCACTCCATTATTGGAGCTGTTTGATATTTTCTCTTGTTTAGTTGGCTTTTCAATATCCGGAGGTAACTGGTATTAGATGGGCTAAGTATTGAGATATAACATATATCCCCTTGTAAGTGAAAATGATGAAAAAAGAAAAATCTTTTTTGTGGTGGATTTTAAATGTCACCGAAACAGACCTTCTTGATAACAAGTAGGTAACCACAAAAGTATGGAATCGAGAATATAAGAGAAATAACGAAACACAAACAACAGTATTGTTGCAAAATAATTTTTACAGAAAAAAGTCCCTATCACATGCACTAACAGTATGAATAGTCTATTGAATCATGGTTTGCATGACTCCTTGAATATTGATCAATTGATTTTCCAAACGTTGTACCTTATTTATGTTATGAGTGTTTTTATAACAACCATTTACAATCATTCAAAATAAAGGAAGTAAAAATGACCGAAATAAATAAAACGTTCAATTCATTTTTGATAAGAGCATGGTGAATTTAGGGGAAATCTACTCTTACATGAAATTGACAAAAATTGGAAATTAGAACCTTATAGTAGTGAGGGGACGATATTTGTAAATTGTGTGAATCATGATCTACATTTACGGTGGTAGTATGGTGCAGACCAATTATTTTCGATGCTTTAAACATTTCTTAAATCGAATGGGACTTAACCCCTAGATCTGGAAATGTCTAATTGTAGTGTTTAGTATATTTTTGAAAATACCTTATCAACATCTAACAGTCATCCGATAAGCCATTAATAAGGCGACAAATAAAAACAAATAACATAATCATTACAAATAAGCCAAATGGGTTGCTCATGAACAACAAATGCAAGGTATAGTAGAGTGAAAGAGGATCAAATTGACTATCACAATTGGTCTAGTTTTATTATGATCTCTCAATGTTTGTGTTCGAAGTTATGATACATAGATGATATAATTTAACCCTTTCCCGACGTGAATATAAGAGGAAAATGTTGACCCTGGTGACGGATAAGTAAGAGCAGTTTTTAGGGGAAAACTGCAAAATACCTACACCCCGGGACATATACCCTGAATTTCATCACTGATATACAATTTTTAGTAAGGATTATCACATTAGAACAACTTGTCAAAATTTGGTGTAAAAATGCTGAATAGAACTGGAGATATTGTCATTTCATTGATGTATATAGATAAAAAATAATGGTGCCAAAAGGAGCCTATCGTCCTGAAGGGTATTACATAATAGGGCTCCATATGGAGCCTATCGTCGTGAAAGGGTATACCAGGCGATGTAAATGGAAATTAGAGAATTCCGTACGCGTGGCATCATGATTTACATATAATATATGGCAATTGATATTTTCTAATCATTGTTAAAAACCTAGAATCTTCTTGATGTCTTAGGAAATATAAATGCTAAAATTGATTAAAGCATCACAACGACGCGTTATATTCGAAAACTAATATAACTGGTGAGAATTTGCGCAAACGAAGACGGTACGCAAGAGACACAATATGTCAGTCATCGCTATAGCTATATATAGAGAGAGATTTTGAAAAGAATTGATCATTTGAAGCAAGTTGAAAAAATACTTTTTAGACCTTTTTAACCTGAAATTCATTGAAGGTCAAATCTTAAGTCAGCTTTGAACTTCAGAAAACTTGTAGATGATATTGAAAAAATTGAAGTCAGTCTAAATAGTTTTTGTTAAGTTATTGGAAGTTGTAAGAATTTGTTACAGACGCCGATCGCCAGCCGCAAACCACCAACCGCCAACCGCCGATCGTCGTCACAAAAATGGAGACCACCCCAATATGTCACCACTTTTTGGGGTGACATAATAAAAGCAGCCATAATATAGATTTTATTTCCGCTTGAAGCAGACTATATTTCTCGAATAATAAGTTAAGGTATAGAAAAGAATGTACATGACAAAGTTTTTCAGATATCATCGAACGATTGTCTATGGGGATTGTGGGAGATAATGAAAGCCTGTGTTGTTTCGTTGCGGAACGTATCAAAATATGTGGCAGCATCTACTGGGAGGAAAGGGATGTTGCTATGGCCAAGACGATGGCAATCCCCGTGAAACTTGCTCTCTTTGCAGCCACTCCGTTGGCTCCTGAAAAAAACAATTAAAGGCTGTTTAAACTCAGTCGTCAACTAGGTTCGTGGAAAGGATTAACTATACTTGAATTTGGTTTTCTTGACCTTTAGATGATTTTGTAGAAAAATATTTTGCAATGAGTGAAAAGATTTTAAGCCCAAGACGCAATGCATTGTGGCTGCTTCATTCCACTCATATGTTGTTTCCGAAACTTTGGTAACAACATCTTCATCGAATGGTGCAGCACACAATGCATTAAGTCCAAGGCTTAAATCCTTAATTCACAATTCATTGTGTTACAATGAATCGAAATACATTTTGACCCTTGATTTGACTTAACAATTGTGTGGACTTATCATGGTATTCTATGGGTTATCTCCTCGACACAGAAGTCACATTTTCAAAGCAAATTCAATTTTCAAAATTCGGGTAAAGACTTTTTATAACTACTTCTAGATGTAATTTTACCTGTAGATTTAAAATATTATATCTCTGACTGAATTTTGAATGACGTTTAAGATAATTATTTACTCGTATATAATATTAGCAATTCAATTAAGGTATACAGATGAAAGACTGTAATCACTAGGGGACACAGTTTATGTAACACCCGTGTATATACCTTTTCCTTGTCCTCGTTTAGAGCCACCAAGATCGAAGTTGAAGGTCGCATATGCGATTTTTTTTATTTCACTGGAGTCTGTTTCCACAGCCTGACGTCTCTTACGTTTAACAGTGCTGCAGGCTGGGTCCTGAAAATGCAGGTTTGGAATTATTGAAACATGTATATATATGGAAGGCCAATTGACCACGCGGCACCTCAACCTATTCAGAAATATTTATTCCAGACATGTGTTCTGGATACCGAAGGTCAATGGGGTTCCATGGAATCATTGTCGATACATGGCTTCCGGTGGAAAATATATATTTTATCAAATCGCAGGGATGATTCGTGGATTCAGTAATACCGACTCAACGTTCAGATTTACACTCTACCACGTGACCACGTTTAAAAGGAGTACAGGCGACAGTGCAGTTGTAAATGGAGTACCTGAGTTTATTTCCATATTTCTGAAGGTCAATTAGATTTTAAATATCTTCCAAATGTTCTACTATCCATAGTATAGATTCATCGAGCAGTTTGCAGTGTATTACCAGAAACCCCCTATAGATAAAGGTAAAGAATACTTGTCATAGTAAGGTAACGATTGAAGGGAATACATTATACTTTTAAGTAATTCCATAAATGAACAGGGCGCTGGTCAGTTTCACTTGGAATTTATATACAACAAAATCCCTAGTCAATTGTTACTTAGATTGCGTGTTATCGTGCATATGCATAATATACGTTTTACATTACTTCATCCAATAGCATTTTTATGTCAAGTAATTTTTCCTCTAAAACCTTATGGGAAAACAACCTACTATTTCGCTATAGACATACATGTTAAATTGACAAAGCTCAAAATAAGATTTCTCAAATGTCAGCACATCGAGATCGTGTTGTGCTAATCAAAACTTCCCATTTGCTTAAATGGTGAGAAAATATCCCACAAACGAAAATTGTATGATTTACAGCTAGCACTGATTTTTGTTTCTTTAAAAAGCGTGTGAGGTGTAATTATGCCGGCGATTTACTGATACCGTCAAAAATATAATTTTTTGGTCCAAAATTGTAATCTGTAGGGGTCCCTGACACTCCTGATACTATTTCAAAACATAAATTGTCAGTAGATGTACACATATATGTGACATACGTGCTTAGATAGTTATGGAATGGAAACTACTCAGGTAGTGCTACTGGCTCACAAACAGGCATTCCGGAAATATATGCTATATTGTAATATCTGATCCACCCGTGGTCCTAAAACAATAGGGAGTTTAAGCTTGCAACCTAAACGCAAACGGAAAACATTTAAGCGATGCATTTGTATGGGCGATGGTCATACGTATAGGTTGGCGTTTCGATTTTATATGCAAGCTTAAACTCCCTTATGTATCACTTGTCCATACGAGAAATATCATATTTCAGAGTCATAAATTTACCTCACAGTTACCAGTCCTCGATCCTGTTATTTCCGAAGTTGTACACATGATAACAACACATTCAAAGGTCACCGAATTCGAGTTGAGGAATTTAAAGGCGGGGAAGGCAATGGAGTTGCCAGAATATTTGCCAGAAACTGCATCACTGTAGCCAGAGCCTGGAAACACAGGGCCAGTATCTTTCTCAGGAATACCTATTGCATTGGCGTACTGATCCGTACCACATCTACAACACAAAAACATTGGCCTGGTTTGAACCCAACATTGGTACACATCGATAGTAATATTTGAAAAAAAATAACGGCTGCCATTTTGAATCGAGTGGCAGTATAGGGAATTCCCTCGAGAGAGAAGGGCAATATAAGTCTCTAGAATTTGGAAAATTCCTACAACTGGTATTTAAATTATTACAAAAAAATAAATTTGGGCAATTTTGAACTTGCAGCCGTATTTGAAATTCCATTTAAAAACATAGTCCAAAGCGTGAGCATTTACAGTATTTTAGCACAAAAGCAGTCGATTTTCCCTTTAGGTATTTACACTTTATCTCAGGAAAACTAAGAATGTTTACAGTTATGTAATATTTTTCGTCTATAAGAATCCATGCTTACCATTCTTACTGTTTGGGAGAAATTAAACATTTTTATCCGTTTTTGCACTTTTGCACCTCACCAGCAATTCATAACAAAATCGTGAATCTTTTTTAATAATTGTATTTGAGATTGTAAGGAATAGATTGGTTGGTCAATTGTACACGTTGCTTGTTATTTTGTCATCCCTATATATCTGATTCTGCCTTTAATATACACCGTTTATAACGATTCGTCGATGACAATTACATTTTTAGTTTAATATTGAAAGTGACCGTTTTATTGGTTATTAACAATTATGAACATTAGACTCACCCTTCTCTATCAGAAAGTCTCAATGATTGGCCTGTCGTATCGGCTCCTGCATAAGCTGTGCACTTTACAACCCTCATACCGCCTACAGCTGTAATACAATGTAATGCAATGGTCATGGCTCCACATGTGAATAAGGCTATTTATGTATGGTAAAGTTATGCAAATGAACAAATAAATCAAGAATTGATAACCCGTGATCCCGGTGGCAACATTTTTTGTACAGGGATGCCGCTAATATTCAAAATATTTACAAACATCAAGGGATTTTAGAAGACCCAGTTACTGGGAAATTTTCATCAAAATGGGATCTATATCTTGGAGTTTTTCTTCAAAATGGGACCCATGTCTAGGGTTTATTCTTCAAAATGGGACTCACATCTAGGGATTCTCGCTGAAAAACCTCGTAGGTCTTTATAGCATTACATTGCACATCGAAAGGATAGGTATCGATATTGTGAACTGAATTCAACAATGTTTTTCTCTTAAACCAATTATTGAAAACATTCTGTAAAAAACACGGTCCTTTTGTTATTTTTACGGATTTGCAACAATTTAATGCAAAAATTATTTATATATATATTATGTAACTCTTTTTGTTAACTTTTTTGTTTTTAGTGCCATTGTTTTTCGTTCCTTTCTACCAATTCTTGAGAAATAAATAAAATGTCTTTCCCAACCTCGTTGGAACAAAATAACTACAACATTTTCTTAGACCTCTTAATATAACAGTAATACAAAGGATATTTTGGTTGATTTAACCAAAAGTATGCAAAAACTTAAAACAAAAAATTAAGATAAACCTTTTATTTCATTAACAAGATACTTTTTTAAAATCAACCAAACTTTCCTTTGTACAATAACAATATTCAGAGACCTAAACACATTGTGTTTATGTCTCTTTGTTCCAATGAGGTTCGGATAGATGTTTCATTTCAATCATTCCGAACATATGATACCAAGAACAAAAGGAGTGTCTGATGTGTTTTCTAAAACAATATAGAGAAAAGGTATATATTTCAAATTCTAATGTTACCATCCAAAAGATGACCATTAAATTGACGATGTGTAAAATTTTCAGAATGTTTTGATGATTGGTTTAAGAGAAACGCGTGTTCAAAAGTTCACCATATCGATACCACTCCTTTTCCATCGAGTTTCTATCATCCTAAACGTGAAAGTTCTCTAGAGAACACGGCACTGCTATGATTACCTTGGCTCGTATCTATGGTCACTTGAATTTGTATAGAAGGAATCGCGGCCATATCAAGCGTCTCACCAGCCGCTTTTGTAACAGCGTTGTTACTTGCATCGAGCAACTGTAGAGTCGGATTTGGGTTGGCAACGGTAACTGTTCCAGCAGCGAGGGCGCTGAAATAAAACATGTATTCGAAAATGACTGTATTCACGCCTTCTATTAATGTGAACAAAGTCATTATTTCACCCGGTATTTAGTCGTCAATACCTAGTCTGTATTAAGTGTTTCGTTCAGTGCACCGAAAGTAGGAAATGAAGGTAACAGAATGTATCGCAACAGATTTTACATAGGTTTGATTGTTTTTTCTGAAGAATTGAAAAGGTGCATATGTTAGGCCAATGCATTATCAAAGAGAGAGAGATCATCAAATAATTTGTATTTCGAGACAAGGAAAAGCAAACAACCCGCTAACACTTTTTTCTCAAAAAAGTGTTCTTGATTTTTGTCCTCTCTACTCGTGTTTTTTCAATGTTTTATGCATCAATGGGTTGCATCTGTAGAAACAATGAATCTTTTAAAAGGAAAATATGTTTTACGTAGGATAAGGTGGAAAACAATATTTCTCATGTTATTTTCCGAGAGGGAAAACTCATGCGATCTATTGTTTTTTTCACCCAGAATTAATATCTTTAAAATCTCTGCTTGAAATTCCATGTTCGAATCGTAATATAGACCTTGGATCAAGTATTATATCGAGTTATAAATACATTAGGGCTTGGCACAAGAGCTTTCTTTTTTAATTTTCATTTTTTCCGAAAGTTTACATTTTGTCATTTTTTTGTTAAAAATAATTTTAATTTTCGAATTTTCTAAATATTATATTTATATTTTTCCTAAATTCCCAATGCACGTTAACTTTAATGTTCCTAAGAGTCTAACATTTTTTCTTTTATTCAACAGAGGACTGGGAAGATATCGCTCTTGACCATGGTATAAGGTCATTATTCACCTGTCGCGATGATATGAGGAATATCCCTCGGATGATACCAAATATTGATATCGTGTGATATTCCCCATATCAAATACCTCTTGGTGAATAAATTTCATTTTTAAATGCATATTCTGTTTTACCGAAGCATCGACGAAATATATCGTTATTCATATCAACGTTGAAAACTTGAAAATATATCATCGGATCCTCAGCATAACATATAAACAGGGTGAACGCTATCCCGGTATATAGTACTTTAAATAAGTCATACATCCCCTTCATAATGAGTAGAATATGTACAATTTGTGGTACGTTTTTTAGACAACCTTACCTATCTTCTATAGTTATGCCATTAACCGTAGCTGTATTACTAACACCATTAAAGTCGCAGACTATTGCATAGACGTAAACCTCAACTCCTGTAGTCGGTGCAACAATAATAGGTGCCAGCACAGTGGTCGAAATGACACTAAACTTGAATATATTCGACACTCCAACCGTCTAGAATAAAAATAGAAATACATAAACGAATTAGGTTAAACAACATGGCCATTTAATCAATTTAATCAAAATTAAGTTCACAATCAAGGAATGGATTCAAAATAGTATAATTTTAACAAGATTTTTCGTATGGATATACACATTAATTACTAAGCGAATTAGTTCATTCATCCAATGAGAAGTAATTGTAGCTCACCGCATCCTCGACAATACCACAATCTTCATATTGTTGAGAGAGATGACCCTGTGCCAGATCAATGTCAATCGTAGCACCTCCATTAGCATCAAGGGTGAATGGACAACTCGTTTTTTTGTTGAAGGCATATGCTTCCGCAATATTAACAGATTCTTTGTTCAGTTGAATGTGAATTGATCGATGGCCATCCACGTCCTTTTGGCAGCTGACATCGGCTGGAAACGAAATTGAAAGAGATGGTGGTTACGTCACTTCAGAAAATACTATTCTCAAGCAAATATTGTCCTTATTTGTATTGAAACCCCATACTAGTATCACCACTAATAAGACAACTTTGATATGGTCTAAATACAAGGATTTGCTCCCAGGATCGAAACTCGATATTTTCCAACAATGAAAACGTCGAAATGTCGAAATGTCGTTATTTTCTGAAATTGTAACCGACTATTTTAAAATAAACAGTTCAAAAGATTTGAATCAATATCTCAATCATTCCTTGTGAGTTTTGGAATTTTTCGTTTGGAAATATGAACCGAACTTACGATTCAAATGTTAAATTGAAAAAAATGGCGGCTGTTTGAATTTTGTATCACGACATGCCCATATGGGACAGGGACGGAATATCGATGTTGCACTCTGGGAGCCAATCCTCCTTGGTCTAAATCTAAGGAAAGTTGGACAAACAATACACCGACAAAAAGGAAACACATTACATTTAACATTCGAAATCGAATATCTAAAGCAGTAAACAATAAATAAGAAATCCGGATAATACCCGAATAATCTGCGCTCCTTCGAAAGAGGCTTACAAAAAGTCTGAAGATTCTAACCATAAATCAACTTTTTCTTGTCACTCAATCATTTCCATGATGGGGCGTTTTAATTGATCAGAATAATAGTTGGTTGAGTTTGCACATACTGAATAAATGTTTTTCCCAAAACATTTTATTTTATATTTAAACGGACAACTATTTAATTTCAACTCTATTTTCATAACCAATATCTCAATCATTTCTTGTGCGTTTTGGAATTTTTGTTTGGAAATAAGACCCGAATTTACGATATTAAATTAAACAAAATGGCGGCTGTTTGATCAGAATAATAGTTGGTTGAATTTGCCCATACTGAATAAATGTTTTCCCGAAACATTTCCCGAGACGTTTAACCAAATGTGTAACTACGATAAAAAAAAAATACGTACCCGTAGCTGTAGCCTGTCCAAAGGCACCCTGAAACAGCAAAACGTTAGCATTTAGACAGAATGTGTAAAAAGCATAAATCGATAATCGTGATGTGAAGGCACATTTGAAAACACATTTTCCAAGTGTCATACTCATATTGTTTGTCATACATATTATGTGTGTGAAATATCAGAACATTTACACCAAGCACTAAGTATTCCACTGATTTTATTTGTATTTTCAATTTTTTCACCTTTTTCAATCCAAGATTTCCTCCGGTTAGACACGGATGTTATGACGGTTTATCGTACTTATTTGAATCATGATATTTAAAAGATATTTACCTTAATCTGTAAGAGCTGAATGGCTGCGAGTACAAAGATGATCTTCATGGCTGGACAGTCTTAGTGTAACTATTAAAAGAATGACAATTATTAGTAACAAGACAGTCCCCGTAGCCAGGGGGCTCGGAGGCACTACTGGACATTCATCTTCTAAAAGTGGGTCATCACAAGATATTGGGTCCAAAATATTTAAGAGCCCCTACACCTCTTGATTTTCAAGATCGACCCAGGTGTCTTGTTAAACATACCCTTTGTGTTACAAACAAGGGAGTTGGTAAGCATGGAAACATATACATCCATGATTCAGTACATTTTTAACATTTAATTTTGCAGTCATTTCTAGCTGATCAACGTGGAAGTTACTTTTCACCATTTTTTCATATTGCTTGATATGTTATTTCTTTTTAAAGTCTAATGCCAGCGAAGGGATCGTTCATCTAATCGAAAATTAATTAATTAGATTTTCGACCAGTCTCTGTTTTAAACATTGTCGTACTGTAGTCAATTCATGTCGATATTGGAAATTAACACCTGACTTGTTTTGAAGAAAATATTGAACGTACAAAATAGAAAGTTTGGAGATTCTGTCACAGTTTGTTTTGTAAAAAGGTAGATCTTGAATGAGCAGTTCTTGCCATAATAACCTAATGCAGTCAACCCGGCCATTAGGCTTAGATCAAAAGCACAAACTTAAAATACATGGTTACGTGTATACGAGGGTATATCATAAAGTTATCATAATATCTCTCTTATTTTTCATTTTTCAATATTTTCTAATGAAACTTTCATAAAATCTGCAGTATAGAACACTCTATTAATCTATCAAAAAATATTTGATATAACAAAAATATTAGATAAGTAATGGTTGCCAAAGTAACGGGAATCAAGGCAACCGGGGCAAATAAAAATAATTGAAAGAATGGGCTTGATTAATCATGTTTACATACATGATAAAGTCTCATAAATTATCAAACACATTAAAATATTATCTTGAATATGCTGTAAATGCGTTTACTATGAAGTAAATTTTAAATTTGATTTCTGTGATGTAGTAGGTGATGCTTACATGCTTCATTTGATCTGATACGAGACTCTGAAATCAAAGCTTAATGACCAGAAATGACCAAGTAAGATATTGCACAGATGCGGAGATCATCAGAAAAATAAAATTCACACTGATAAAAAGTCTACCTTAGTTCAAAAAATAATTTGCTCATATTAAAGATGATCGAAAACAAATATGTTGCAAAGATATCACCAAATTACACCCTATGTGTGGTCTAAACATATTTAAGGTGAACTAAAGGGGAATATCGACTTCCCTTCTAATATATGACAAAACAGTCGCCTAACATCACTTCTAATGAAGCATTACAATCATCCATTACGAGATCACATAATTTACATGACCATTATAATAGTTCAAAACAGCCAAGAACACATGATATTCAACAATTTGATTTGTTTCGTAGCTTATTTGGTATATTATTATGCATTTAAACATGGTTAGTTGGGGCTATTCTTGCACGATTTTTTATTTGCCCCGGGTGCCTTGATTTCCGGTTACCATGGCAACCATTTCTTAAATAATATTTCTGTTATACCAAATACTTTTTGATAGATTCATACAACATTCAATTCTTAACATTCTGTGCAAAATACATCCGAATATATTAGATAAATAAACGAACTGGAGAGGTATTATAAGAACTTTATGATATACCCTCGTATCTTCCTATTCTCCTTGATTATATAATGCACTATTTCATTTCGAATTTGAAGTATGAACTTTTAAGAATTACAAATTGTTTTAATTTGTAAATACTTCAGCTAAAACATTGGTTTAGTATTCTTTTAAAATGTATTTTTGTTTATCGGATTTATGAATTTTATGAAAAGTTTTGTAACATCTTGAAATTTCTTACAAAAATCAGTATCTTACAAATTAATTCTAACTAGAATATAATCTCCATAGGTGGTTCATTAAAACAATTGAAATACTTATTTATGTGCTTTTAGCCTAGGTTACAGTTGTGTTCTGTTGATGTCTTTATTGCATCTAGCATCTCCGTTTGTTATAACATCTGCGTTTTCTAAGTACATCTACTTACCCTTGAGAGCTAAAACTGATCTAATGATTCGGGCGTTTCTCGATACCTTTATACTTCTGCTCTTCTATTGTGCTTGGGAATGCATCGACCGTGATTATGACCTAGGAACATATATGTTCCCACAACCTCAATAGATCTCAATCGACAATATGCGAATACGGCGCTATACAGCCCCTAAAAATTACCTATGGGAGATTTTCAAAAGTCCTTTATTCAAGGTAAAAAGTAATAATAAGTTATACTTTAATATATTGAAAGAGTATTTGAAGTACACTTACACGGTGTTAATTTTGGAATTCTTGTAGAGATGCGATTGTTGACTATTATTATGAGGAACGTTATTACAACCGTACAATTAATATGTCTATGGTAAAAGTATTTGATTATGTCACCTTGAAGTGTTATTGAGCGTGTTTAAAAGGAAAAAAGAGATTTAGTGTAAAAATATAAAATAATGAAATCTTAGGAATGAATTAGTTTCCAATATTGCCATTTTCACATTAAAAGGGTTATATACATTTGTCCATGGGTCCACGTGGTGACAGTATAACCGAGTTATTCACAAATTTGAATATGCCAAATATATGCATATTCGATTTCTTGATGCGTTAGATATAAGATACAATAGCTGTAGAGATACATCGTCCCATTATTTCCACATTGGTTCCATTGTTCTAATGAATAATATCTCTCAACCTTTTTTTTAAATGTATAATACCTTATAAGTAATTACTCAGATGCGAGAAGGTAGTTACCAGTTTCACCACCAGGTGGCTGATTCGGGGGAATTAACATGGCAGGGTATTACAAAATTCCCTTAAACTTGAATATGCATCAGTTTTGATGGTTCACTTTTCATATTACCTTTATGTATCTGATAGTTGTACAAATTAAAATATGTCCAGTAAAAGAAAATATTATCTGCCCAACACAAGAAAAGATATTTCACTTTTTGTGGTTTTACAACATGGGCTCTATGGGGAATCTCCCCGACCTAGAAGTCACATTTTCAAAGAAAATTAAATTTTCAAAGTTGATAAACTCAAAACCATATTTCTAAGTATAAATTTACATGTAGATTCCAAATATGACATCAGTTTGACTGAATTGTAAAATTTAATTAAATAAATCAAGATTATTTCTACTCGCATCTGGGATATTGTAATTAAGAATTATTATATAAGGTTGTAGAAAATCCCAGGATGACCCAACGATGCCAACGGGAGCATTACATAATCGTACGATGGCCGTACTGGACACGACGGGGCAGGCTCCGATGGGTTTGGTTTAGAAACAAACGGCAAGACATCGGCATCTTTGATCCCGGCGAAACAAATCTCCCGGTGCCCGTCGATGTCTCATTTGCAGGTGTAAAAGAAATTATGGTCCCCTGGGGATTATGGTCTCCTTTCTTAAAGGCCCTTACTGGCCCTGATTGTGGATACGATAATAAGAGAAAGAGATTTTTCAGGATCATAATTTGATAGGACCTCCTACTCTTTTACACCGGGCTTCGTATTAAAAATGGAAGCAATGTAGAACACGGCGTATAATGATGAACATTAATTTTTTAGATGCAGCTGTTTAACCAGGTCTATATAATAGCCTAATATTTCGTTCGCTCGTATTTTCCCAGGTATTTAAATCCATGTGTGTTTAAATTGTCTTGAAATTATACAGAACTTCTATACACTGGCGTATGTTGGGTTGACGACCCCAATCGTACTAAATGAAGCCTCTCGTTTTTGGGTAAGTCAGTTTAAACATATTGCATATTAAAATTATACAATTTATTCACAGTAAAATAGTTCTCTCTATGGGAACAGCTTAACTGAAAGTTAATTCCTTTGAATGTTTTTTTAGTTTTCTTTGTGGTCCTGCCACTGTGTTAAACATTCCTTCCGAAAGCTCTCAATTTCCATTATAGCCTCTTAATATAGTTTAAGTTTGTTTTTTAATCTTTGGTAGCACTTTGAATAAGGAGCAATTATAGTAAAAATAACAATAAAGACTGTGCTTATTCATGTTAATTTCCTGCTTTCAGATTAAGTGAAAAATAATGTCGTGCAATATGTGTATTTGTTTCCAAATGCATGCAATATTTCAGTGATATAAGAAGTGAATCTTCTGATCGAGGGCTGGTTTGACGATGTATAACTGAATGTCTTCAGGAAATATATACGATGTCCAATCTGTATTATTGTCACATAACGGGCAGACTCATAACTAGGACCCTCCCCCGACCATAAATTATTTCAAAAGCATGCAGTTTTCACAGTTCTGCGCACTTTTCAAGCGGTTTTGGCCATTTTGGGGTCAAATTTGTCAAAAGTGAACCCCGTACAATTTCTCAAAAAGTTAATCCCCCTTGGCAAATCCTTGCTACGGGCCTGACGGCTATTCAAATTCAAGCAGATCTCCTCTTAAAAGAGCAATATTTCTCATAAGGTAATGACAACTTTTTGAATGCAAGATAGGCATGACAAAATATCCATGTTCTACATTGGTCTGGTTGGTTACAGCTGACGCTGCTGTATGTACATTCTTGATTCGCTTTGATGTGTCTTATCCTTTACTAGATTTGGTCTCGATGTAAAGAATAATCCTCAAAGCTCATCAAGATTGCACCATATTCTCATCTAAAAACTTTAGGTGTATTCTTTATTTACCTCATGTATCAGAGAGCTTGGTTATAATTGGATATTTATTAAAGTATACTCTTAAAAACTAGCTATAGTTGCATCATTATGATGTCGTTGAGTGCTAAATTTTTTGTTAGTACTACGTGTCGCAAAATCAAAGAAAATATTCGAGAGATTCTATTCATTGATTGCATACACTGCGCAAATGTTTAAGTTACATGTTCTTTGACAGTTAAGACCTATAATTGACATAGTATTTACAACGGTTCCAAATGGTTCTTGAATCGTTTCAGCTTTAAGCACGTCAAGGGTACATATGATCTACTTAAATTGGAATTGGGGAATAATGGGGAACAATGAATAAAATATGCTACACCTCTATCCTCTATTCGATACAAACTCAATGGTACCTGTTACACTGCTGGGTTGAGTCTAACGAAGCATTTTTGTAACGAAGGTTAGCGAAAAAATTGTGTCCACACTGGCTTTATCCAACCCTAACGAAGCAATTATTTGGTGTTACACTGCACTTAAAATGCTTCGTTGCGCGTGCGCAGTACTCATCTGCCCCACCCACTTATTATGATTAATATTTTTATTCTTTTGATATAAACCATTGATCAAACTCAAAAATCTAATTTTTAATGTTTATTTTAACAATTCAGCACAGAAAAAGACTAGTTCAAAATTCTCGGGAAAATAAAACCAGATGAATGTGATCATTCCGTACACATGTCCATATATTTTTCCCATCATTTCGATTTTTATATATTTCAGCTGTCAATACGAAAACATATGGAATAAAAATAGGCCTATGTTAATTACTAGGAGGAATTGGATTTGGGGTTTATACAGAGGACTATAGTCTGTAATATCGTATAAAAACGTTCAATTTCCAAATGGACTTCTCAGTTATATTTCAAATAGTGTAGCCATTACTAAAATATCTCGGTGTTCGGCTGGTGGTTTAACTACTATTTCATGATCAATTCATTTTAATATGAATATTACCCGTCTCGCCAATATTCCATGCATATTTGAGTGAGTTTGACATAAATTAGTATGTTAATCCATCAGCCGTCCGTTGAATTCGAAAAATGGCGCAAATTGGAGGAAACTTAAATATCAGTTGTAAGCATCGTCTGACGACACATCAATAGTGTTTGGGGCTGGCCTAAAACATGCAGCCTCTCTGTGGCAAATATCTGTCGACAAGAAACAATTTTGGCAATCGTTCCTTGTCCGCAGGTTTTACCGTATTTGTATACGGAAGTTTTGAAACGTAATTAATTCAATATATTTAAACATGAAGTTTAAATTCAATTACAATTTAAAATCGTCGGAGAATGAAATAATAGAACGACTAGTACAAGTATTGCAATGGGGCGATAATCAGTTGAATACGAATTCTGAAGAGAGACATTTTCGATGTGTACCAACAGAAAGGTAATTTTGCTTTGCTTTGAATGGAACAAGTTTGAAGAAAAACGGTGCAGTATGAGACTCGCAGTCCTTGATTTTCAAACACCTCGTAGGTCAAAAATTTAAATTAACGGTCGAAGTTAGTACCGCGTGCTGATGTGATTCACCGGGAAGCAATTGTATTAGTATCATGGTATTAACACCTTTAGAATTACATTCAAGGTATAAATATTCGAGGTGCAAGAAAAAAATTAATATTAAACATGTATGCCACAACTTTCTATTCAGTAAGAATATCTTATAGTAATTTCAAAAGTTTACCCTTCCACACTTGAGACGGGGTTTTCCCGGAAAGAGGGACATGTAAATATTCTACGTTTATTCCCTTATAGATTAGATAAACGTTTCAAAAATACCGTATACATATACGGTATTTAGATTTAATACTTTTTGTCATATCAATGCGAGGAAAGGCAGGGAATCGAATGAAATGCCACGAAAGACGGTAAATCACATTTGTACGTGGCGTTTAGGGCTTAAGTTAGCGTCAATCAGTGACGCAAATAGGTAATTATTTTAATCAAAACGTAGCATTATAATAATACGTACTTAAAAACATGTTCTTTCCTCGCGATTTCTCTCATTTAATACAAAATGATGAATGTGCTCTTTATTACGCGCATGCGCAAACCGCCAACTAAGCATTTTCTAACGAAGCTACCTGTTACACAGGCCAAAAAAGCTTCGTTGGGACTTAACCTTCGTTGAATTTTCTACTCAATTGCTTCGTTATCAACTAAGCTTTTCTAACGAAGGTGGAGGTGTTACACTGGCCCAAAATTGCTTCGTTACGAAGCTTTTTGTCAAATTGCTTCGTAACGAAGCATTTCAACTGGCCTGTGTAACAGGGGTCAATAATGCATATATTAAATTATTATTTCTGATTGACATTTTCATAATTTTGATTCTATCAATTATGATGAAGTGTGAATCTTATATTTATTCATTCATTTATAATATTAATATATCAACAGAAATTGTTTTTTACCGAAATTACGGTTTTCTGAGCTTAGCTACAAAAACAGAGTTACTTTGAAGAAAATAATCTTTCCACGTGACACAGGTGTTCAGATAGTGTCAAAGAACTCAGATTACCAAATGAATGCTGTCGGGGATTCAAAATTTATACCGTTGCATTTTTATTCTGTATAAAGACTATATGAACCTCAAAATAAAACTTAGTATACCTTCAAGGTTGTTATACGCAATTTGGCATATATACATGGTTGCGGGGTATTTGTGTTACGGGTGAATATACCATACTCTCCTGCTGTATATGGCAGCTTCTGCAGGTGCGTATGGCATATTCCGCAGTTAATATGCGATACATGGATTTTAGTGAATACCCGATACTCACCTGCGGAATATGTCATACTCACTTGAGAAATACTGCAGATGAGTATGTCATACACCACAAGTGAAAACGTAATACAGAAGCCTTGATTTGATTGGTTGCGAGAATCGACTCTAAATGTAAAACTACGCAAGATTACCAAAATTGTTAGTGCTTCAAGTACCAATACACTGTATATAAATCCTGCATTTATTGAGCAAGTTTACGTATTACGTGTGCTTGCTGGGTGATACTTAATTCTACATTATTTGATACATTCAATGTACTGTGATGTTGCTTCAGTGATCGTTATAATATTTTATTAACTTTTACCCATTCGTTCAATCGATGCAATTGACAATTGCCTACTTTCGTATCACATTATCAATGGTTAGTGTGTATGCCATATGCCACAGCTGAATCTGTCATACACCGCAAGTGATCTCGTTGTGGAATATGTGTTTTTAATTAGGGGAGTGACGAGCTAATTAGTATTATAAATTATAGGTCGGATGGTTCAGACATAATTTCAAAGACTGGTGGACAAAATGCTACAAATAATGCATTCCTGCTACGGAAGATACATATTAAAAACTATATTTTGATTGATTATAAGTCAATTATAACATAACCTGACTAACTATTCAAAGAACACAGATTGACCGAGCAATTTCAGCCTTTTGAGGCATTCACAAAATTAATTCAATTTAGTGACGTCGATCATATGGACCATGAGACCATTGGTTCACATTTTATAGTCAATGTATCTCAAGAAGTATATTGTGTACGGTCCTGAAATTTTATGAATGTAAGATAGATGATACTACAGAATGCTGCATTCGTTTTTAGTCGGCACGATGTCCGATTTGTTCTTTAGCACATTAAAATTATGCTCCGTGGAGCAGCTCTACAAGAAGTTTGAGATGACTAGCTTAACTTGATGCACTTTCATGAGTGTCGTCGTTACTAGTGGGTGGTTGTGCTCTAAATGATGTTCATTCCTTTACAGGCACACTTCTGGATTCTACTGGGGAAGTTTTGAATTTCATTTATGGGGAAAACCTTTTACCAACGCAGCATCACGGTTTGACATTTCGAACGTGACGATTTTCGCGTTCTTCATTGTAGCCCAGCATTGTGTATATCCCTCCGATAATATTATTATGAAGTATTGTTGGTACCTGTAATCTTGGGAACACTATATAGTCAAAATGAAAATTATCGGTTGACTATTTTTAAATATAGTCCTCTTGTCGTATATAATTTATTACGCGTGGCGCCTTAATGAGGTCGGATCACGTCGTACTGAATATGGTTCTATGCAAGATGTGTGAAGTTGAATTTTGAATATTTGTCAAAAGGTGGCATATGATGCTCCTAAAATACAATTGCTTGTGAAACTTAACATTCTTTCAATTGAAATTGGTTTCAAGCAATACTCCCCCACACAAATCTACAGTCAGTTGAGACTCGATCAACTTGATTTCTTAAGTGAATTTAAAAAAATCAGATTTCTTTGCCATAGAATTTATTTACAGAAAACGTGTCCCTATAGAGCAGTTGCAATTACATTATCTGAAGCCTTTATTTCAAATATATAAACATTAACAAAGCCCCAGTCTTGAATAAAGTACATAAAGTTACATATTATGTTAAATGTAGAATCAAACTTAAGGATGCAGTACCGGGTCGGTTTTCACGTCTGTTTGCGCAGGTTTTACTTCCTGTTTGAGAAAGCTAGCTCCCAAGAACCTCATTTTCGCATTTAGTCTTATTCAAAAATTATAGTTTATTTCGATAATGGTGTTTCCAGAAAAGAATTAAATTGCAAACATTTTATCAAGCATATTTTATCCCTTTCACTTTTATGGGAAAACTTGTTCTTGAGTCGCAATTAGTGGATACGAAAACCAGGGTTCGAAAGGTGCCAGCTTTATTGAAAACTCAAAAAAGTAAAAAGATTCATTTTGGGTAGGTAAAATAATTTTTATTTTGTAATTACCAGACGGTCAATCCTCTTCATATTGCACTTGGATGATGATAACATCATAGTAATACATTGTAAAAAATATGAGCAAAATCTAATGTCTGGAACTTTCTCTACGCTGACCTGGTACTGCATCCTTAAATTATTCTATATAGTGCCATCGTATATGTGTGCACGTGCGATAGTTTTAGCAAAATTTACTGAAACAAAATAAATAAAAATAAATATCAAGCAAAAGCGTCACAAAAAGCATCTAAGAATGTTTGGTATCAATGTCCAGTTTGCAAATTGTTACTCAATCCACAATCCAAGGCCATAGCCATACGCCCTCTATACGTTTGGCAACCGGAAGTTCTTCTTTGGGTCACGTGTCACGTGTTGATGTTGTCGATTTCTAATTACTCATCATCAAAGTCATGAATTTCAGAACTTTTGTTGTTAAGGAACAAAATTAAGACTTTGGTGTGCTTTCTATACGATCTAATGAAGACTCCCCGGTTGACAAACTTATGGAGGGGATTGTGTCAGTTGATATGTGCAGGCTGTTACGGCATCCTCTTGGATTCAGAATAATGGGAGCGGTTGTCATAGCCATGTATATTCTCCTGTCTGTATGTCTCCTGGTTACTCTGTCTGAGCCGAAACACTGCGCACATGGCGACACCTATAGCAAGGAGTAGCAGGACTGCCAGAACAATCGAAACTAGCAAAAACTCCATACTATGTAAGCATGACCCAGAGGCGCTTCCCAATGAACCATTGTTGGCTGAAGACAAAAGAGTATACTTAAGTTAAATCATCGTATTGGTAACGAACGTCGAACGCAACTGGAAAATGATGTCAAATTGACCCTTTTCTATATAGATACTGTATATAGAGAAGGATTAGTAGATGGCATTGGTTGGGCTAGACACCTGTAACATACGTATCTCTCTAAAATTTGTTTCAATAAAATCAATTTTAAAATCCTAGTGAAATGAGGCGCTTCAAATTATGGGTAGCAATTTCTTCTCTGAAATCACTGTGATTGAGTGTTTCAATGTGAGCATATAATGATTTCAACGAACTGTGCTCGCTCAAAAATGTATACATTATAAGATATTTTATACACGTAAATGTATAGGTCAACATGCAAATTAACATTTGTAAGTGAGAACTAATTTCTTTTAGATAAAAATATCCATCAGTAGTACTACACAAATGTTTCATACTAATGAGGTGAATACCTGTTCATCGTTCAATGATTCTAGCGAGGTGTATTTTCCGAACCTTGTGGAATCATCGAAAGTGAAGGTATTCACCGAAAATAGGTCTTCTTATTTCTATGTCACGTGTAATGTGAAGACCGATGAGCGAGTGGGGAATATGACAGTGACATAATAATATATGTGAAGAATTAAGGAACATGGATGTATATAAGGACGAAGAATATTACGTCACGTACACGTACGCGTATATTTGTAAGTTCTATTTGTGGAAGTTGCAAATGAAGATTTACCTGCATTTGTCCCCATGTCATCGCCTGAGGATTCCGACCCAGTCATCACATGGAATGTTTTGGTTACATATCGTTCTCCTGGAGAAGCGCCATCAATAATGTTCCTCTTTCTTCTCTTGGCGGGGCAGTTGCTTCCAGCCTATGAGGGATTGACAGACATTTTAATATTTTACGATTCCATACTATCCCATGATGTTCTATTGGAATGGATCACCTCATTTAATTTGATAAGTTTCATTGAGAGCTCGATTCAACTAGATTATTGTTTGTGTTCCATTGAAATGTATGAGCTCAAAACGAATTGATATATACGTATGAAGCTCTTACTAAACAGCAATATATACTTTGTCAATGTCGTGTAATCTTTGGACATCAAAATAAAATGAGTTCTCAAACTCTTTTTTAGAAAGTGAACATTGAGAATACAGTAAATAATGTCGGGGAGTACGAAACAAAACAAAACATGCAGCATTGTTTGTGATCCACCTCGTTGGATATAACAACTAACGAAACATATTAATTCTAGAAAAAGTTTAACCTATGTTTCTAAATGAGGAAGATAAAAATCACAAGGTATCAAATGTTATCAATCTCTTTCCAGTTGGCTTTATTACATCTACTACTTTGAAAATACTTACGTTGTCACATGATGTCAGATTTGCGGCATAACAAGGTACCCAGAAACATTGCAGAGTGAGATCCTCTGTATCGGCAAAGCGGAACGGGGCGAATTCAGTGGAAGTGGCATAGTAGACGGGTGTAGCAGTTAATAATGCATCCTTTTCGAACTTTCCCCTGGCAGCCCCTTTGTTCATTACATTATGTTCAGAACAGCTGAAGTAAAAAAGAATATAAAGATTAGATTTTCTTAAATGTGCCGCAATTATTATTTTATGAAGCATACAAAGAGTTATTGCTTTGATGTCATTCCATTCACGTTCCTTTAGAAAAATATCATTTTCTCAATTATTTTGATTTCGCTCAATACATATTGTACATTGCCTACCCATCCATGTTTGTCAGCTGGATTGGTGTCACAGTTTGTGTCAGATATGATGCTGCGTATGCCCAGCATTCAGTCACTTTGATACCCTTCATCACTGGAATAAATAAAATTAAAGTAGCCTATCATTTGTAGAAATGCAGAAATGGAATACCCAGGCATGGGCGTAGCCCAAAAAATGAAAGAAGTAACTTAAGCAATGTAAATGTTATAAAAGTCTGGGTGTGGACCCCGAAACCCCTTTTTGGTGCTCGATTCGCTCGCAGTAATGTAAACCGACAGAATCGCACCCCCCCCCCTTGATAATTGCTGGCAACGCCCCTGCAGGGTTATGACCTTCAATTTATCATGAAACAATGAATTGAATGAACTTGAAATAACGTATTATAATGGGATGTACCCTTATATTATGGGTAACTTTATTGCCCGCGTAACTTGTTTCCATCACAACGATCTAAAATATAGAATAGATTTTCTGTTACTCAATATTTGCTTACATTTTGTGTCATCTGCTAATTTCATCTTTATTTTAATTTCCAAGTTAGTTGAAAAATCTATTGCACCACTACTGATTAAAGTATCGGTGGTTGTTGCGGCAACATAGTCGTAAATTTCCAATGTGACGGCTGGCAGTGCTTCAGAGGCTTGAGTTCCAGCAGGTAAATTTCTGTAAACATATAATATATTTTTGTTAAATTATATTTGTTTTTTAAACATAATGCAGATAGAAACTAGGTGGAACTCCTCAAATTGTTTACAAAACGGATCCGTTCCGTAACAAAATGTCACAGCCTCGGAGGTAAACTTTTTCCATGATTTCACGAGATGTAGTAGGCAGAATCTTCAGGACCTTTTTGGAACAGGGGTGTATCACTCAGTGTAATATTTTAAGAAAATATATGAACTTTTTCTAATGATAATATTTGTGCAATCTTGATGAACATAAATTTTATACATTTCCCGAAGCCATTAAGTATACATCCTCAAAACCAGCCCGTTGAAGAACCATACTGAAAATTGCTGCATTTACTACAGGTGTGTAGCATGTGTGAAAATTTGAAGTAAATCCAATTAGTGTTTTTTCCACTGGAATCGCAATGACAAGATTTATCTAAAAAGAATCGTGATGACAAGAAAAAAGTGAGACGCCGCCCGCCGCCCGCCCGTCAAGCTGACGACAATATCGTACCCTTTTTTAGGTACGATGAAAATGAATTTGCTTATGGGGGACAAAATGTTTCTAGTTTTCTGGTGAATGTAGAATATTGCATCATACGAATGCAATTTTAGGTGATCTGTCCGCATGGGGTGTCATTAATCTATGGAGCTTGCGTAACTTAACTCTCTACCATATCTAGACTCCTAAGTCCCTCATACCCGCACTGGGATATACTCGTTGAGTCTGAGTTAGAAAAAAAAATTGGGCCCCTAAAACCCAAAAGTCGGCCCAAATTTTGAAATTTTGAGGCCCATTTTCTTCAAAATTTTCTTCACTTTTTTGGGCTTAAAGGCCTTTTTTGGACCCATTTTTCTGGGCACAGCCAAGGGGGCCCTCCCCAGATCCGCCAGTGAATTCTAGATGGGTCAATCAGCAAAATAGGAAAAACTAATTCAGATTGTGACTACACTTACGCAGAGATTGCAGTTGCGGATATGGACGCCGGGACGTTATCAGCTACGAGTGTCGCGAAATCACAATTAGCATGATCACCGACGTCCGCATATATCTTGTCAGCAGCAGTTAGGATGCCTTCAGAGGGCTCGTTCGACTGTGTAACGATGGACACCTTATAGCTACCAGTTGTACCCTATGAAAAATGGTTAATGTTCAGGCTAGCTGTATCATAGTGACAGGCATTGAAACTGAATGTGTGATCTGTTCTACATTTCCTTAATAAAGGTGTACAGACTAAAGCGTATTATGACATATCTTTTATTGTATGATAGATGTATTGTGCCACAATGTTTTATAATGACAGCTAAACTATTGTATTGTTTATTTCGTATTAAAATTATATTAGTTCGTTTACCGTTGCTAGTCCACAACCAGTGTAATCTGGTGATGAAGAGCCAGCTGTGACATCTATACTCAGTTCAAAAGCATCCGCTCCAGCGTCTACCAATCTACACGTCGTAAATTTACCATCTGCATACGCTGCTCCGATTGTGTCTCCACCTTTTTTCAAGTCGATGTAGATTGTTTTTCTTCCCGTGCCACTGTCATACCTACATTGATAGGTCACTGAAATATGTAAAATCGCAGTACATACAGTATTCAAAGACTTGGATCAAAATCTCTTTCAGAGCTGAGGTACATGCACGTGGATTTTAACAATACTAACCAATAGGAATCTACTTGTTGAGATTCGATCAACTTGAGTAGTTCTTCTGAAAAAAAGAGGATTTCAGCAAGGGTGCATTGACTTTACATGGGGAGATACACTGTACATATCACAATGCTAATCAATGGCCAATGGTGTATGTCCCCATGTTGATTTTTGCAGTTGTATTGCCTGCAGTCCGTAGGGCGAAGGAAATACATGCTGCAAAAATCATTGAGAGAGAAACGGGCATTACCTGAACATAAAATGAAATATTTGTTTTATTATATCATTGTTAGACATTCTCAACGATCATTTTGCATTTCAAAGAAATATAGAACATTTGTTTTCAGAAGTGAACATTTATTTTAATCAACAAATATATCATAAACCCATCACTTGATATAATTACATACAAGTATTATTGAGTATCACTGTATATTACATTTTTCTTTTCGACCAATGCAGTTGTCATAATTCCCGGACAATACGCACATTCCTACGGCAGCCGCATGGCGAATTTTGAATTTCTGTTGATAAACGAAACGTTAATGTTTGTTTTTATTTTATTTACATACCTCAGTACAATTCATTAATGTTATTCATAGTACTAAGATATAATATCAAATATACCAACGGCATGTTGATTTGTATGGCGACTGCAAAAATGGAAAAATATTTTAAGTCCGAATTGTAATTTTTACGGCTACCCTGCGGCCTGTAAAAAACTGGATACGCCGAACGGAGAACGCAAGGTGAGTGTAGTTTTCCTACGCTCGCCGCAGAAATTCACTGATTTAATTGATCTGCGGTCGACGCACGGCTGCCATACCACAAGTGAGACTGTGGTGTTAGTCTTTTATAATTCAATAACTCATTGAGCTGTGAAATAACGCTATGGTATTTTTGATCACATGGTACTAAATCAGCCAATCAAATCACACGATTTCAAACAATGATATGACAAAATTAATACTTACACGAAGCCACGCCTGTCGTTACCTACAATGTAAAAAATATATATTTAGGAAGGTCATTTCCAATACCAATTATGATGTGCCTCAAACCAGCTTTACAGACAATCGTGGAAATAGTATTTTTTCAAGATTTATCAAAATGCGATAACAATTGTGTTACGAATGACGCAGTGTAGATTGTTAACTTGTTACTGTTTATTGTAGACTGTATCAATGCTGCAGAGACGACGTGTGCGTACAAGCAAGTGAGCTTACACTTTGATTTTTAATTGATTATGGTCAGGTGTTATGATTTTCATATCTTTTTCTGAAAAGTGACCAGTCTTTAAGGAGTCTTCAAGACTACAACTGATTAGTCTTTGGGGACTTTTGGTATATTTAAGATGGATTTATTTTGACTTTTTTCATCTGAAAAAACTTTTTCATGGTACATATTTAGGCGTTCATTAAGGACGCCTGTTTCAAAAGGTCTTGTCTACTTGTTCCAAAGAAAGTTTGTCTGCGCGATTCCAGGTAAACAGTTTAATGGACCAATATGAAATCATTTTCAGCCTTGCTTCTTTGGATGTACGTCTGAAACGTTATGCCTTCTGAGTAAATTCTTAGATGGCAATTTTGAAAGTTCTAAAATCTTCTCTGCAAGGTTGTCTACACATTTTCATGCATATTGCATAATGTCTGACAATGTACATTGATTACTTTAATTCTTTAAAGGTTATAGTTTATTTATTTATTTATTTATAGTGTTCAGTCTTACAATTCAATAAAATATAAAACAATTAATTGCAATTTTTCCCAACTTACCTTGGGCTTAAAAATTACATTATTCATATATATTATATTGTATTATATATTTTTTATGTTATAACATACTACATGATCATCATAAGAGTCTAATATATATGTAAGTGTAATTGTTTTTAAATGTGTTTACCTTTATCTGGAAAAGTTGTATAACAGCGAGTGCTAAAATGATCTTCATGATTGAACACGTTTCCAAACTGTTCTGCAATAATTCTGGAAATAATTAACACTACTTCAACCAATGTAAGTGTGTATATAGCGATCTGACGGTACCGCAATCGCTTAATAATTCATCGAACGGAATATTAAGACAATTTAGTCCACGCAAGATGATATATCTAAAAAATGAAAAAATGTAAACACTCAATGCACATTGGCCTAAAGAAGAATTGTTTTCTGTCGTTATTGCATCTTGCAAATATAATCCGTTTAATTCTGCAATAACTTACCTTTGGAAGTTAAGACTGGTCTAATGATTCGGGCGTTTCTTGATTCCTTTTATACCACCACCTCACTATTGCACCTGGGACGAATGTATAGCATTGTTCATTAGCATAACCTAGATGGCTCCACATAACATCAATAGATCTCATTCGAAATGTATGAATACAGCGATACAGGCCTTAAAAAATACCCACACCCTTTTTCCAATGTAAGAAATAAGAAGTTATGCTTACATACATTTAAAGAGTATTTGAATCATAAGTAATTTAGGACTTCTTGCAGAGGTGCAATTGATATTGACTGAGGGGTACGTTGCTAGTTTTCATTGAGCGGTTTTCCTTCCCCCATATCCTCTTATCAGTTTCCTTGCATGGATTATTTGCATGGCATGCGCAGAGGTGGTCTGAGTATCAGAATTTTGTGAACACTTAACGAAATCTTTACCCTGCGTGCAGAGTCTAGTTAAACTACAGAAGCTCTCTTTTAAGAAGTGAAGTCAAACAAATGCAAAGGGTACGAAATCTTTATTAGAGATGATTGATTTTATAGATATTCAGGGGTCCACACGGGAGTGACAGGATATCAGTTTATCATCATGACTTATTGATATTTTTTCTATGTCAATCTTTTCTAAATATGCTTAACTTCAGGAAAAAACCAATGTTGATTGTTTAACCAGGCTCAAAGGAAGAGTATGATTTAGATCTCTTTGTACCATTGGTTTCTGTTAGAACTAAAATTTCGAAATGCATGTTTCTCTGAACCATTTTCATGCATTGATGAGTTCATTTCTCGCTTATTTATGAACCGATTTTCTTTGTTTTTCGGCAACAAACGTGTGAAGATGAATGCTATGCATTGGTATGAATAATCGCTTATTAAAAGATACGTGTAACCTCTAAAGGTTAGTTTAAAATAAATTCACGATTTTTCGAACAAAGGGTCCTTTAAAAAACACTTTTTGAAATTTAAAAAAAAGTTTCACGTATCACACTTTGATTACATTGGGTAATTCTACAATATAAGCCAAAGCGGTTTAAACTTTATATTGGGGCTTTAATAATACACTGAACATTGAAATTGTATATAGACCTTCTGCACACTGACGTGTGTTGGGGTAAAGACCTTTTCAAGTATCGTGTTGAATGTAGCCTCTTTGTTTATAATTTTCTAACGCCTCTACTAAGTTAACGGCCTTATGCTAACCATGAATATGTGCTTTTGTAATGTTTACGCTATTTTGCCGTATATGAGTCATGTCTTCATTACAAAACTCAAATTGAAACAGAGGCCATTTTCTCTTCAGAATTTGAATTAGGAGTTCTGGTCTTAATACCTGACAAAAAATCAATTTAAACGCTGTGATCAATATATCAGTTCAAATCATTTGGATTGGTATTTTGAATTTAAAGCCAGCTATAATAATGTCAGACATTAACTATATCGTTATCACAGCTATCGCTAGAATATCCGTTTTCCTTGGAGCCGTTGCTTTTGATTTTAGACGAAATCGTGCAATACGTTAAAATAAAAAATAAATCGATTTTTTTATTTTAAGATTTTTTGACTTTATACGGACGATTCTAATAAGAATTTATGTAATAGCTTTTGATTAAAATATTTCTATTTAACTCGTTTTATTTTAAGTTCGCGATGTCCCACATGTCATGATGTATGTAGCCAAGTTATTGGCTATGCTAGAGACTTAAGAAACTCTTGGCACATAAAGAAGGCCAGTTAAAATATTTTAAAATCATATAACACTTTTATGAACTGACGTATGTCGAGGTACCGCCCTATAGCCAATTGTTGAGTTGCATCAAAGTCGCTTGGTACTTGAAGCACTTCAGTTAAGACAAATTACATTTTAAAATCATACTGTGTAACTATGTAGTCACAAATAATACTTCTTTCTATAGGTAATATACAGTATGACTATAAAGTTCATTGATACGATTTCATTGAATAAGATGGCATTTTAATGATTTTTCTCACCTGTGTTTGTCTTTGCGTTCACATTCCAAAAGCTGTCAGAAAACATAATATTCTTAAAAAAGGTTTTATTTGCTTATATTTGAAATCGGGATATCATCAAATTTCATAAAATTTGATGCAGATTTTAAAAAAATCTCTAGAGATAAAAACTTGATTTAATTTCCGATGATTCCTGATTATCATACCCCAACTAACCACATAGCCTACACAGATTTATCCAGTGACTTCTAGTTTCTCAGATTATTTAAAAATAATCATAAAAATCTTCACTTGACTTGAAATCGGGGTATCATCATATTATAGCCAATTGGTAGTTGGAACATCACAATGTATATATCAGGAAATCGATGGAAATAATGAGTAAGGGCTGCAATTATCAGATGCTCTGTGCATAGCAACACAAAATGGACAACGAAAAAAGATAGACCATACCAAAAATAATTTCAATGAGAAAATGTAAAATACTCTGCGGCATTCGCACTGCGACCGTAGTTTCACATTATCGATGCAAGAAATCTACATCGTACTGCTTATTCCTATATTTTATGCTGCATATTTCTCTCGATTTTGGGAAGCTACGACCGCCATGCTGTTGCCGTTGATCAAATGTAACTGACGTATTATACGTCTAGATAACGACTAATCATTAAAGGTCGTGAAGCATGCACAGGTCCTCGTGTTAAAACCTTTTTATTCACTATGTTGTATATTTAAATCTCGTACATGACTAAATCTAAAGATCATCACCGAATGTTTCCTCATTGTATTGCACACCTCTGGAAGCTAATCGGAGGAACAAGCCATGATGATATTAAGAGGGCCATGGATGTATTTTTATACACACTTAAAATTAGAAACGCGAAAACAATGTTTGTTTTAACACTTATTTGTAACAAATAATAAACAGTATTAAAGTTAATGCTATTTCAATTATCACGTTTTTACGTTCAACGATTATAAGTAAACAAGTATAATAATATTAAAATATATTATAACTTTATTATAGTTTAGTTTGGTTTATTTATTTATAGTGGTCAGTCATACAATTCAATAAAATATTTAAAAAAAGATTAATAACAATTCTATCCAGCCCAACAATAGGAAATACAAAATAAATACACGGAAATCATTATCACATGTTGTAAATGGATTGCCTTCTCCACAAGCCATCTTAATAAATTAAACAATCTTACGGGTATGTTCCTAAAAGAAATTCAATTTCATTATCCAAATCTTTAAAATTTACTCGTCAAAGTATGTTTTTCTCAAATCATCATACTGTGTCTATTGCGATGGAATATAAAATGTATATCTGTTTCAAGACATCAACTTTTCATCGTTTCGTCTTTATTAACATGTTTTCAAATATTAACATGTTTTAAGTGTATTTAATTAAATCATACATTATAACGTGTTTATGCGTCTTTTAACACAAAACGTGATTCAGGGGTTGCGGCAGATAATTGATATCGATAAAGTGTTATGAAACACGTAGGAATATCAAGTCATAAGGATCCAGACGAACTTTATAAGTTTGTTTCTTCATGTTTTATTTAATGGTACAAGTGTTTACTCGTTGAATGTTCGTTGACTTTTATTTATATAATACCAACGAATACGATCGACACCTCTTGACAGATCTTTCATAAAGAAATTTATTTCTACGCATTGACTGAAAGGGAAACGCCCATTCGACGTATTTCAAGGCTTTGTGTTTATTCGGTGAGGTCATCCGTCATTTTAAAATATTAACTTAGCATCTTGACATTTTTCACATGTGAATTATGGGACATACATTTAGTGTATAAATTAATATATAAACGTCCATCGTATTCCTTGGTATAGACAACGAACATTATATGAATACAACCTAGTACCATTAAATAAAACATGAAGGAACAGACCCTACAAATTTTGTCTGCACCCTGGCCTTACTTTGGATTCCATGAGCAAGAAACTGGCTTCTTAAACAGGACATTGAACTTTTTGTTGGCTCTATTACATTAGCCTGTTTTCTGTGTCAAATTTTCCGATCTGCACTTACATTTAAAACGTATATTATTTTATACATCATTTTGACCAAGGGAAAAGTCGATTCGTAAAAGATTGGAACGTTACAAAGTTAAAAACACACTGAGTCAACGTCAACGCACTGAGATTCATATGGTCCATACTGAATAAATATGAAACAATATACATTTTCGAATCCCCGATAGCATTGGTAATCTGAGTTCTTTGACAATCTGAACACCTGTGTCATGTGAAAGGAATTTCATTCGCAGTACCCCTATTTAAGGTAACAAATATAATCACTCGAATACCTTTAATATTTTCTCTGATATTTAAAAAGTATATACAAAAAAGGTTGACACCAAACGACATGAAAATGATGCAATGCAATGATGCAGATATACTTATAGACGGGTAGGAAGGAGGGGTTCCCATGCACCCCAAAGGTGTATTTTTTAATGTACACTTGTGTAATCCTAAAGGTCCATACTAAAGCTTTTTGAATGTTCCCAGAATGAAATGTTGTCCCATGGTATCCATTGGTGGCCATCTTGTCGGCCATCTTAAATTTAAGACGAATTGGATATTATATATCCCTCTAACAGAGAAGTCAATCGATACATCCCTCTTTGGCAAACTTAAAATTATATACATAAACGTCTCACAATATATCAAACTAGTCGCTGCTACCAGTGCGATGTACAGCTGGTCCGAAAATTGACATTCCGT